ATGTAGCGAAAGCTTCGCATAAATTGCAATTGAATTTGCTTGTTACTTGTTACTTAAAAATGTTGCGAAAAAATGTAGAAAAACTCGCGTCGCCGCAGCGAAAATAATAATAACATTAAAAAAAAAGTGTAACAAAGCAATTGATTATGTGACGACAGACGGGCAAAAACTAAAACGAAAAGAAAGAGAAAGAGAAAAACGAAAATAATAGAGAAAAAGAAAAGGAAAATAATCACATTGGGGAATGCCCGCAATTCATATGCATGAGCTGTGTGTGCGCAAAGTAAGCAATTAACTCGCTGATTGACTGATTGACTGATTGACTGATTGACAGACTGACCAATTGCCAGGCCCGAGCACTGCATGGCGTAACGGGAAAGACAAGCGGGGAGAGGGGGCAAAGTGACTCAGAATCAGCTTGCGATAAGCACATCAAGTGCGAAGCTTGAAAAAAAGTGTTTAAAAACGAGAAAAAAAAACAAGTAAGAGTACTATGGTAGGGATGCCCGACTAGGTGATACCCTGAACCTTCTGCTACCAACAACAATCGAAGCTTGCGCTAGTGGGACGAAAAAATTAAAAATTAAATTTAATTGAAAAAACTTCGTAAAAATCGGATGAGATTTGAACGAGTTAATGAGAGGAGATTTGAGAATTGGTCATGAATTTTGACCAAGAATAATGTTGCCAGATTTAGAAGCCAAATTGATCTAGAGACCAAGCCATGAACAAAAAGCCAAACCTTTTGAAAATCGGATGCGATTTAACCGAGTTATGAAAGTGGGAAATTTTTACCTATGTCTATATAGGATAAAAGCGGGTCCCCACCTTTCAAATAAATTCTCTCAAAGATCTTTGAAAATTAGTTTGAAACCAATCGGACGGTAAACAAATAAGTTTCATGAAAACAATTTTCGCGAGTTTTCCACACATGCGGGTGGAATTTGCTGAAGCCCCGTCCGTTTGGACAGTGCGTTGATCATCAATCAATCAGTCCGTCAGTCAGTCGGTCAATCAGTCAGTCAGTCAGTCAGTCAGTCAGTAAGGACCAACAGTTTTATATATAGAGATATAGGATTCGAACTTGTGTTCTTCACAGAGTTCAATTAGCTTGGCTGCCAGTAAAACGTTCACGAATGCGACACCAAATGGAATTGAAAATAGATTTCCAAGCATATCAACAGCAAAGCACAGCTCGAGGCTCAATTGGCGTTGCCACTTGGCTGGAAAATGACAAGTGTTGACAAATGGCGCACGAGCCACACGTGCTGCCCATTGAAAAGCCTATGCGTAATTTATTATGATAGGCATAAGTGCACGCCGGCAAGTTTTTTGCTCACTATTTTGCATTTCGAATGAATTTCCAGCCTCGATGTCAGAATTTTATTTGCATTTCGGCTTTTTCCACTCATCAATCATTTTAACACGTTCTCCCCCCCCCCCCCCCCACACCTATTTTTGTTGGTTTGTTTGCATTAACACTTCCGTTACTTGACGCCATTTTGTGCGCCATTTTGTCAGCAATTTTATTTGCCGTTCGTTCGTTCTGTGTTTTTTTTTGTGGCCATTTCGAGCATATTTATGCGTCTGTGCCTGGCTCTCTCTCTCTGTGTGTGTGTGTGTGTGTGTGTGTGTTACCATTTTGCCGTTAGTTCATGTTTTGCGGCCACGCCCAACGCCCACACATTTGTTCATTTGATAAATTTAATTCGCTGCGCTTTTTACTGGCGCCCGAGCAGGGACAGCTATTTACATAAATTATAGTATATCCCCGGTTGTTGTTGTTGTTATTCAATCGAGCCGGGCATTACGCTTATGTAAATTGTTGACTTTTACAGCACATTCGCTTGAAATGTACAATTAAATTAACATTACTTTGTTGATGTTACGCCCATTTAATAAACTCCTGCTTTACGCCGAATTCAATGGCGTTTTGCGAATAGCTGAGGTGTTTGTCAACATAACGTGTATGTCAAATAATCAGAACTGCAGCCAACTTCACTTTATGGCGAAACGATCGAGTGCAGCCAACTTAACATACATGACAGAGAATCAGGACTGCAGCCAACTTAACATGCATGTAAAGTGATCAAGCACAGCCAACTTAATGCACTTTGTGAATACGTCAAGTGCAGTCAGTTTAACGTGAGCTGCAGCTAACTTAATGCTTTTAGGGATACAAGAAGCGCAGCTAACTTAACCGGCTTAACTTTATTACGGCCAACTTAACATGCATGACATATAATCAGGATTGCAGCCAACTTAACGTGCATGTAAAGTAAGCAAGCGCAGCCAACTTAACGTTCATGTTGAATAACCATATATATCAAGCGTAGCCAACTTAATGATTTCATGGGTAAGTTAAGCGCAGCCAACTTAACATGCATGAACAAAAAACCAGAACTGCAGCCAACTTCAATGTACCATAAAACGATCGAGCGCAGCCAACTTAACATGCAAGCTCAGCCCACATAATGTTGAAGCCAACTTAACGTTGATATCGAATGTTCAGAAGTGAAGCCAACCTAACGTGCATGTGAAGAAAGCAAGCGCAGCCAACTTAATGCGGTCTTTACAGCTTCTAAGCGTGAGAGAAAACTCTTGAACAGGCCCTGAAATGTGTTCGGCTGGAATAATTAAAGTTCAGTTGCCAATCAATTTTTACATTTTAAGGCAAATCGATTTTTGGTCACATAAGAAAATACTTTCGTACAAAAAAAAAACATGTTTTTCTCATTAATCAAAACTGGTTGCCTTCATTTACTAATTATTTTGCTTGTTTGCAACGAAATCTCGCAACTATTTTTCGTCACGAACCGCAGGACTTTTTGTTTTCATTTCTTGTTTACGACTATGCAAAAAATTGATTTTGTATTCAATTCATTGCGATAACATGCGACTGTCACGTGCGTCACGTCCAATCAAGAATATTTTGTGCGAATAACAAAAAAAAAACATTTTAATTTCAGCTTTTGTAGTGTGCATTCTCAGTTCTCTGTCGCCTGCACGTTTTCCAACACTTATTACGCTCCTTCTCAATCCATGAAATGTGTTGGTGTGTGTGGGTGGAAGGAACGGGGAGAGTGCGAGGGGGGGGGGGGGGGGGGGGGAGGAGAGATGTCTGCCATTCGTTATTATTTGCTTATCATTATTTTTTCAGCATTTTGCATTTTTTCATTATTGTATGTTTTCGCGCCAAGCACATTGTTTGCGGTGTTCATATTTGGCGTCTGCCACCAGCCAAAGGACAACAACAAGGACATCCCCATCCCCATCCCCATCCCCATTATCCCCATCCTCATCCTCCCCATCCTCATCATCATTATCATTGTCAGTTGTTACTTTTGTTTGCCTCTCGCGAATGTCATTGCACTTTTTGTGTGCGGCGCGCAGGTCCTTCGGGGTGGCTGGAAGGGGGAGGGGGGAGGTTGGCAGGGAGTTCGAGGGGGGGAACCATTAGCTGCAGCCCCACTCCAAATAATTGCAACAACCTATTTAAGAAAAGTACATGATATAGTGCAAAACTTACAGCCTAGTGTCTAGCATGCACTAGCACTACTCTCTAACCAAAGACTTTTGTCGGGGACTCGTACTCTGGACTGACTTCCTGTCGGATAAATCTAGCCCATCTGCTTATTAACATGCAAAGGATATGTATTCTTAAGTAATACTAGCTAATTTGGGTTTAGCTAATTCTGTGCTAAATCAATCGAACCGTGTTCTTCCTGCGAGCTGCAACCAACGAAAACATCTCCTCTACTTATCCGTATCCATACTTATCCTAGAATATATATTTTATTTAATAACACTTGCTACTCTTCAATTGAGTACAATGTCCACACATGTTGGTCGGGAGCTCGAACCCTGTACTTTCTGCCTGACTCGTGAGTTCGCAGCTCGCAGCCTGACTCATTAGTCCGACTCCTGTTCGATTCATCTCAACAAGTCTGTCAACTGTATTATATATGTGTGTATGTATGTGTGTGTGTGTGTGTGTGTGTGTGTGTGTGTGTGTGAGTGTGTGTGACTGTGTGTGTGTGTACATATGTATGCATGCGTGCTTGTTTTCTAAGACCAAACGCAGACCAAGCTGATTTGTCGCTGTGCTGCAAATTTAAATAAAACGAATTTCTACCAAGTGCTCTCCTCCTCGATTCTCAAGAATTCAAGTAGGCTCTGCAGCTTTTCATGCTAAAAGCTAGTAGTTTAGTGGTTTTTTTTTGTTGGTATTTTTTTTTTGTGTTTTGTTTTGGTGTACATATGTTTGTATGTTTGTATGTTTTTATGTTTGTATGTATGTTTGTAAGTTTTTATGTTTGTATGTATGTATGTATGTTTGTATGTTTTTATGTTTGTATGTATGTATGTATGTTTGTATGTATGTATGTATGTATGTTTGTATGTTTGTATATTTGTATGTTTGTATGTTTGTATGTTTGTATGTTTGTATGTATGTATGTATGTATGTATGTATGTATGTATGTATGTATGTATGTATGTATGTATGTATGTATGTATATATATATGTATGTATGTATGTATGTGTGTGTGTTTGTATATTTGTATGTTTGTATGTTTGTATGTTTGTATGTATGTATGTATGTATGTATGTATGTATGTATGTATGTATGTATGCATGTGTGTATGTATGTATGTATGTATGTATGTATGTATGCATGTGTGTATGTATGTATGTATGTACATATGTATTGCATACATACAAACACACATGCATACATATGTGTATATATATGTAGACAGTGTGAGTGAAATTTGCCAAAGCCCCGTCTTAACGTGCAGCTTCATCACTAAAGGTAACTGCAGTGAAAATATCAGGTTTCTAGCTGTTACGGTTTGGGCTGTACGTTGATCACCAATCAGTCAGTCACTCAATCAGTCAGTCACTCTATCAGTCAGTCAATCAGTCAGTCAAACAGTCAGTCAGTCAAGCCAAACAGTTTAATATAGAGAGAAGCTAACAATTTCTTTTTCTATTACAGCACGCGCATGGCGCCGACCTGGCCATAAGCATACCTAATAATCCGGGCCTGGACGATGGCGCCTCGTATCGTCTGGACTATAGTCCGCCCTTTGGCTATCCGGAGCCAAACACAACAATCGCCTCGCGGGACATTGGCGACGAGATTCAGTTCTCGCGCGCCCTGCCCGGCACCAAATACAATTTCTGGCTCTACTACACAAACTTTACGCATCACGATTGGCTCACCTGGACGGTGACCATAACGACAGGTAAGTCGAACAAAGTGGCAACGCTGTCAGTGAAAAGTTTGCCAGAGCTCAGGAGTTTTTCATTCAAATAGAGAAAAAATGCAACAAAAGTTTATTTTTTCCTATTTTTCCATCAGCTGCTGTCGGTTAATTAATATGTCAGCTTTTATTGGCTGAGAATATGTGAACAAATCATAAATCAAAATGTTGACGTTATTTTTTTTTTATCTGCCAACACTTTTTATTTAATGTTAGCCAGAGCATAAGAGATAGCATTGAGCTTTCATGTAGGCGCCATCTAGGATGCTTTATGTATTAAGCATCGGTGGTTCAGTGGTAGAATGCTCGCCTGCCACGCGGGCGGCCCGGGTTCGATTCCCGGCCGATGCAAACTTCTTTTTTCTATGTTTTGCATTTTTTTATTTACTTTAAATGCTTGATGAGTAATTCTGAGCACTGCCCAAATTCATAAATACGCCCCAGAGGTGTGCGTGTGACAATCACACACACACACACACATGCACACGCTAAAATAGCCACATAAACACGCAGCTGCGTTTTCCCTTAACGCGTTTGCCCCAGCGAACGAAATTTATGAGTAATTTAAATATTTACTATACATACATATGTAAATATAGTTTAATTTCAATAATTGAAAACCCGTTAAGTCGAATAAAAATTGTAATCTCAATGTACACACACACTCTCTCTCTCTCCTTCCTCCGATTTGCCTCTCTTTGCGGCAGCCAATAAAAATGTAGCTGTCAAAAGTAGAAAGTGAAAAATTGCAACGCACAAAAACAAAAACCAGTTGCGCAGCAGCAGTAGCAAAAACAAAATACCAACAAAAAGAAGACGAAAAAAAAAGAGCGTCAGCGAGAGAGAGTGAGGGCGCTTAACTTTGGTGTAGCTAAAAATAGACAACCGACAACAGACAGCAGCGGCAGCGCAGTAGCAGCGGAGCAGCAGCAACGATAGCAGCTCTGCCGCTATAAACAATGTGTTGCCTTAGGGGTAGAATATTTGCATGGTAAACATCGCGTTCGGGTTCGATGCCCGGTTCTACCAAATTTTTATATAATTATTTTTGTTATTATTTTCTTAATTAATATATTTATTTAACTTGTTGCAGCGCCCGATCCGCCTTCCAACTTGTCCGTGCAGGTGCGCAGCGGCAAAAACGCCATCATACTTTGGTCACCGCCCACCCAGGGCAGCTATACGGCATTCAAGATAAAGGTGCTGGGCCTATCGGAGGCATCGAGCAGCTATAACCGCACCTTCCAGGTCAACGACAATACATTCCAGCACAGTGTCAAGGAGCTGACGCCCGGCGCCACATACCAGGTCCAGGCCTACACCATATACGATGGCAAGGAGTCTGTGGCCTATACGAGTCGCAATTTCACGACAAGTAAGTGCAGCCCCGCAATCCCGCCCCCATCAACTTGTTACCTGTGTGGTGTTGGTGCCTAAACTTAACTAAAAAAAAAAAACAACAATATCTCATTCTTCTACTCTCTACCCGAACAAACAAATAACTCTTGTGCTTATACTCGTAATTGTAACTAAAAACTAAAAAAAAATAAATCAAAATAAAACACAAAGGTCGAAGGACGCGACATAAAGAATTGCTGGACATAAAAATCTTGAGAGGTAATGTAATGCCAACATTCCGGGTTCCCCGCTTAAATAGAGCTGCATGCGTAGTTTTAGAAATTCCTTCTTTCCTTTTTTTTTTTTTTTGTTTTCGTTTGCAAACTAACCTCAAAGCTAGCCCGAATTCCCTTTTCAATAGTCCGAAAACAGCCCTGACCTAGCCCCCAAAAAGACCCCCCAAGCTGACCGCTGGCAACGAGCCAAATTCATTTCACTAGCCCCAAATTGCACCCATTCCCTCCCCTCCCTCCCCTCCATTCCCTTCACCCCGCTTAGCTGGCAGACCGCAACAAAGTGCGACTACAGAGAAATTGCTGCAAAAACCAAATGCTGGCTGTCATTTGCACAGTGGTCCATTTCTATGTTTATGCCTTGAATTTCCAACGATCTGGCAGCACTAAATCACATTTTAAGCGCCATTAAGTTGGCTGCGCTTCACGCAAACATGAAGCTCAGCTGATGTTTGGTTAAGTCAAGCTCATATAGAGTTATGATGGGAGATATTTTTATGGTAGAACTTTTCGGACTCGAACCTGACTATGATAATAAATATTACCTTTTAGTAAGCACGCTTTAGTCGGGCGTAACCGACTAGCAGATGCTCTAGAGCCAATGCCAAGCTGCATTTACAAGGATTCTAGCTTACTTCTTTGGACAAATCTTCTCCTGCCCTTTGTCCTCACGTAACTTCGGTCTTTACAGTCCGATCTCTATGAAATTTTCAGGACTTGAATATGGTCAGCTAAAGCTCTAAAAGCGAAAGTTTTTTTTCAGCAATTTGGCTGGGGAACCTTGACAGTTTTATGAAAAGTGATATATTCGTAATCTACATACTTTATACGTAGCTCCTATAATTCTCGAGTTATGCTTAAAAACCTGTTCTCCAGATTAAATTTCAACCATTTTCATGTAGTTAACTGCACACATTTTTGTTTTTAGTGTATATATCTACCCAAAATACCTATACTCACATACTACTAACTAAAGGAAACTAATATTAATAGACACATTTAACTCTAGCCTCTAACCAAGGTGCATGTAAATAGACCAAAGCATTCAACTTGAACTGAGCGCATTTGCTTGAATTTCACACACACCTGCATATATATATATATAGTATATATATCTGTGTGTGTATACTCGCGTAATCTGTATATACCGAAAATCAAATCAGACCAGCTAACACAAAGAAACTTTCAACTTTGTTCTCTCTGTTCCCTTTGGCTGGTTGCCCTTCCGTCCGGTTGATTGTGCGCCGCAGAGCCGAATACGCCGGGTAAATTCATTGTGTGGTTTCGGAATGAGACAACGCTGTTGGTGCTGTGGCAGCCGCCGTATCCGGCGGGTATATACACCCACTACAAGGTGTCGATAGAGCCGCCCGATGCCAATGACAGTGTGCTGTATGTGGAGAAGGAGGGCGAGCCGCCGGGTCCGGCGCAGGCGGCCTTCAAGGGACTCGTGCCGGGACGTGCCTACAATATATCCGTGCAGACGATGTCCGAGGATGAGATATCGCTGCCGACGACCGCACAATATCGTACGGTGCCGTTGCGTCCTTTAAACGTGACCTTCGACAAGGACTTTATAACATCGAACTCGTTCCGGGTGCTCTGGGAGGCGCCCAAGGGCGTCTCCGAGTTCGACAAGTATCAGGTCTCGGTGGCGACCACCCGACGTCAGTCGACAGTCGCCCGCAGCAACGAACCGATCGCCTACTTTGATTTCCGCGACATCGCCGAGCCGGGCAAGACCTTCAATGTGATTGTGAAGACCGTATCCGGCAAGGTTACCTCATGGCCCGCCACGGGCGATGTCACCCTGCGTCCATTGCCCGTTCGCAATTTGCGCAGCTTCAATGATGACAAGACCAACACGATGATCATAACCTGGGAGGCGGATGCGGCCAGCACACAGGACGAGTATCGCATTGTGTAAGTAGCTACGGAAACCTTACTTTAAATCTGACTGCAAAATCCTCTTGCGTCTTCCTTTTAGCTACCACGAGCTGGAGACATTCAATGGCGACACGAGCACCCTGACCACGGACCGGACACGTTTCACCCTGGAGAGCCTTTTGCCGGGCCGCAACTATTCGCTCTCTGTGCAGGCGGTGTCCAAGAAAATGGAATCGAACGAGACGAGCATCTTTGTGGTGACGCGACCATCGTCGCCCATCATTGAGGATCTGAAGAGCATACGCATGGGCCTGAACATCAGCTGGAAGAGCGATGTCAATTCCAAGCAGGAGCAGTATGAGGTCCTCTACTCGCGCAACGGCACCAGCGAGGTGCGCACTTTAATCACCAAGGAGTCCCGTTTGGTCATCAAGAACCTACAGCCGGGCGCCGGCTACGAGCTCAAGGTCTTTGCCGTCAGTCACGAGCTGCGCAGCGAGCCGCACGCCTACTTCCAGGCGGTCTGTAAGTGTTAACAACAACCATCCGATATTCCCGCTATAATTCCCAACTAATCGCATCCGCTTTCAGTTCCCAATCCGCCGCGCAACATGACCATCGAAACGGTGCGCAGCAATTCGGTGCTGGTCCATTGGTCGCCGCCGGAAAGCGGCGAATTTACGGAATATTCCATACGCTATCGCACGGACAGCGAACAGCAGTGGGTGCGCCTGCCCAGCGTCCGATCCACGGAGGCCGACATCACCGACATGACCAAGGGCGAGAAGTACACCATACAGGTCAACACGGTTAGCTTCGGCGTCGAGAGTCCCAATCCGCAGGAGGTGAACACAACCGTGCCACCGAACCCGGTCTCCAACATCATACAGCTAGTCGATTCGCGGAATATAACGCTGGAGTGGCCCAAGCCGGAGGGTCGTGTCGAATCCTATATCCTAAAATGGTGGCCCAGCGACAATCCCACGCGCGTGCAAACCAAAAACGTCTCGGAGAACAAGTCAGGTAAGTCGGGGACTAAAAAGGCTAAGCTATGCTTATTAGGTTAACAAAGAAAGCAAGGCTATTAGGAAGCAAGGATATTATTCCAAGAACAAAGGTTGGGCAATAGGGAAGTAAGATGTAGTCTAGCCTAGGCAATGCTTGAGTCAGTCAAAGCAACTGGAAAGAAGATTCAAGTCTAAGGTGGGAAAAAGAAAATAACTTAGTCTAAAATTGCATACAAAAGGCAAAAGAAGAAATGCTTCTTATGGAAGAAGACTTTAAAATGTGAGTAAAACAGGGGTAAATCCATGAAATTAGGTACAACAATTTTGAAGTATAAGAATCAGGATAGTAAAAAAAGAAGAAAGGCACAAGATGAAGAATTTATTACAACTGGCATTCCCTCCAAGAATGTGTTGACAGGGCCTAGGATGTTCCAGTTCCAGAAAAAAAGGTACTCAAAGTCTTAGAACCTATAGTAAAAATTTCAGTCAATTAAGACTGAGCGCTTTCGAGAAAGGGAATTGGTCTGATAAAGCAGGGTGGCATCAAAAAAGGGGGCTTCACTTGATGTACAAGAGGAAAGGGGACGCAGCCGCTGAGAAAATAAACGCTTGTCGTAGGAAGTCCTTGGGCTAAGTATATCCAGGTAAAGAGAGTCTAGAATAATATAGAATTCAGGCTAAAATGGCAGGGTTTAAAAAAGTAACAAGCTAAAAGACAAATGAGCCTAGTCTAGGTAAAGGTTTTGCAGAGAAGGAACTATTTCTGGTATAAGTACAGTTCAAGACTAAGAAAGTCATTTATTCCAAGAGTAAATAAGGAACAAACCTTCGGAAGTTTAACTAGATAATTTAAGCAGTTTATCTCTATGTTTGTGCTTTACTAACTCTCTCCCTCTGTCTTCCACACAGCTGATGATTTATCTACAGTCCGGGTTCTGATTGGAGACCTGATGCCGGGTGTACAGTACAAATTCGATATACAGACGACCTCGTATGGCATACTGTCGGGCATAACGAGCCTCTATCCGCGCACCATGCCGCTCATCCAGTCCGACGTGGTGGTGGCCAACGGCGAGAAGGAGGACGAACGGGACACTATAACGCTGAGCTATACACCGACGCCGCAGTCATCGTCCAAGTTCGATATCTATCGCTTCTCGCTGGGCGATGCGGAGATCAAGGAGCAGGAGAAGCTGGCCAACGATACGGACCGCAAGGTGACCTTCACCGGCCTGATACCGGGTCGCCTCTACAACATAACCGTGTGGACGGTGAGCGGGGGCGTCGCCAGCTTGCCCATCCAGCGACAGGATCGCCTCTATCCAGAGCCCATCACCCAGCTGCACGCAACAAATATCACGGACACGGAAATATCGCTGCGCTGGGATCTGCCCAAGGGCGAGTACAATGACTTCGATATCGCCTACCTTACGGCCGACAATCTGCTCGCCCAGAACATGACCACACGCAACGAGATCACGATCAGCGACCTGCGTCCGCATCGCAATTACACATTTACCGTGGTCGTACGCTCCGGCACGGAGTCCTCGGTGCTGCGCAGCAGTGCCCCGCTCTCGGCCAGCTTTACCACCAACGAGGCGGTGCCGGGTCGCGTGGAACGCTTCCATCCGATGGATGTCCAGCCCAGCGAGATCAACTTTGAGTGGTCGCTGCCCTCCAGCGAGGCGAACGGCGTCATTCGACAGTTCTCGATTGCGTATGTGAACATCAATAATGCAACGGATGCGGGCATGCAGGACTTTGATTCCGAGGAATCCTTTGGCGTCATCAAAAACCTGAAGCCCGGCGAGACGTACGTGTTTAAAATACAAGCGAAGACCGCGATTGGCTACGGCCCGGAGCGGGAATACAAGCAAACGATGCCCATATTGGCGCCGCCGCGACCCGCCACCCAGGTGGTGCCCACCGAGGTGTACCGCAGCTCGTCGACCATACAGATACGCTTCCGGAAGAACTACTTCTCGGACCAGAACGGACAGGTGCGAATGTACACGATCATTGTGGCCGAGGATGATGCCAAGAATGCCTCCGGCCTCGAGATGCCCAGCTGGCTGGACGTACAGTCGTACAGCGTCTGGTTGCCCTACCAGGCCATCGATCCGTATTACCCGTTCGAGAATCGTTCCGTTGAGGACTTTACCATCGGCACCGAGAACTGTGACAATCACAAAATCGGCTACTGCAATGGACCCCTCAAATCCGGCACCACCTATCGCGTCAAGGTGCGCGCCTTTACCGGACCCGACAAGTTCACCGACACGGCCTACAGTTTTCCCATACAAACCGGTGAGTGGGCAAGTCCCTGCAGGAATAAGGGTTGACTGATTGACTGACTGACTGACTGATTGATGATCAATCCCCTTAGCTACAAACCGGTGAGTGGGCAAGTGCCTGAAGGAATAAAGAGTAGGTCGACTAGGTCAGTTCATGGGAGTAGCTTGTTAACTGAGTTCCTAAGAGGTCCTTTAGGGGTTGACTGACTGACTGTTAGACTGACTGACTGACTGATTGATGATAAATTCCCAGCTAGACGGAGACTTGAAGACTCGCATACACATAGAAAATTTCATAGAGCACACTTACTTTCTTGACGGGAAATCTGTTTAGCTGGAAGTAGGGGTTAAAAGTAGGTGGACAAATATTTAATCACCAGAAAGTAAGTGCACCCTTTGGACGGAAGAGAAATGAAGAAAATTCCAAGCACATGAATTGAGCCTTAAGGAAGTTGGAAAAGCCCTTCATTATCAGGGACTTGGGTCGTCTCAATAAAAACGATGATGCAACTAATGGAACAAGATCAAGGAGCTGACGTTGAGGCTCCTATCACATGTAGAGACTGTAAGCTGGAGGTTAGCTTAGTCTTTCAGCTTGTAGATTAGATCAATTGAACAAAGACCTTGGCGTTAGACCCAATCGAAACTCAGGCTAAGCTAAAACCTTGAACTAATTGAGCTGCGTGTTTTATTTAATCCCATTCTGTTATAATCTATGTCTTGCCTGTTGCATGTTCTATGATCCTGCATCATAGAACTGCTGAGCTCGCCGGGTAAGCTGTCGTCCGGCATAAAAGCCAATGCTATTTCCATTTTACATACCCCAGCTAACTTCTTGGCTTCAATGCTCTCTTTGCAGATCAAGACAATACCTCGTTGATTGTGGCCATAACGGTGCCGATGACCATAATCCTGGTGCTGTTGGTCACGTTGGTTTTCTACAAGCGACGCCGCAACAATTGCCGCAAGACCACCAAGGACTCGCGCGCCAATGATAACATGTCCCTGCCGGACAGCGTCATCGAACAGAATCGCCCCATTTTGATTAAGAACTTTGCGGAGCATTATCGCTTGATGTCCGCCGACTCGGACTTCCGTTTCAGCGAGGAGTTCGAGGAGCTGAAGCATGTCGGCCGGGATCAGCCCTGCACGTTTGCCGATCTGCCCTGCAATCGGCCCAAGAATCGCTTCACCAACATTTTACCCTACGATCATTCGCGCTTTAAGCTGCAGCCCGTCGACGATGACGAGGGCTCCGACTATATCAATGCCAACTATGTGCCCGGGCACAATTCGCCCCGCGAATTCATTGTCACCCAAGGACCGCTGCATTCCACACGCGACGACTTCTGGCGCATGTGCTGGGAGAGCAACTCGCGGGCGATTGTCATGCTGACCCGCTGCTTCGAGAAGGGCCGCGAGAAGTGCGACCAATATTGGCCCAACGATACGGTGCCCGTATTCTACGGCGACATCAAGGTCCAAATACTCAACGACAGCCACTACGCCGATTGGGTGATGACCGAGTTCATGTTGTGTCGGGTAAGTACCTAGGACTTTTCCCACCCAGCTGTCTCACTCACTTCCTCTCTCCCTCGCTCTCTCTCTCTCTCTCTTGATTATAGGGCAGCGAGCAGCGGATTTTGCGTCACTTCCATTTCATCACCTGGCCAGATTTTGGCGTACCAAATCCTCCACAGACCCTGGTGCGTTTCGTGCGCGCGTTCCGGGATCGAATCGGTGCCGAGCAGCGTCCCATATTGGTGCACTGCAGCGCTGGCGTTGGCAGATCGGGCACCTTCATCACATTGGATCGCATTCTGCAGCAGATCAACACGTCCGACTATGTGGACATCTTCGGCATTGTCTATGCCATGCGCAAGGGTAAGCCCACAAGTCCAGCCCAACCTTCATATCTAAAGCTCTAAATCATCTCTCTCTCTCTCTCTCGCAGAGCGCGTTTGGATGGTGCAAACGGAGCAGCAGTACATTTGCATACACCAGTGCCTGCTGGCGGTGCTCGAGGGCAAGGAGAACATTGTCGGTCCCGCCCGAGTCATGGACGACAACGAGGGCTTCGAAGGTAGGTGCCGTCCTTCGCGTCCTTCCCGTCATCCCACGTTGGATCCATCTTGTTGCCTGGTGCTGGTTGCGCTCGTTGCGAACGCCTCGTTTTAACACTAACTGATTAAATCTATGCCATGCTCTGTTCACAAACTGAACAATTTATGAGTACCCCAGCCGAAGGTACACGACCGAAAGATACCCTGTACTCACGCAACGGATAAAGGTTGGCCAAAAGTGAAAGGTTCTTGGTCTGTCTAGACTATCTGAAAGCCCACATAACACATTTGATTACTCTAGCGCTCATAATCTCAAAATCGATAATCGATAATTCGATAATCGATATTTATCGAATAGCCAAGAGATTGGTTTAGTTCAGTTTCCGGCTGGAAATCCAAGCCTTGCAAGCATACTCTTGTATGCCCGCATCAGAAAAAGTGTGTAGATAGTTGTGCCACGCCCACTAAGGTGTTTCGAAAATCGGTTAACTATATGTGTGACAGTTTTAGAGCTAGATTTATGGAAACCTGATAGCTAGTCTGTGGGTTCAGCTCAAAAGTTCTTAGCTCTTCATCATCATCCTCCATCCAATCACAGTTGGGAAGTCACTTCTTTGTGCTCACAGTTTTGGAGGCACAGTCCTTTTAGGACAAGAGGACTCTGCCCTCAATCAAATGCCTTGCCTTGGGTAGTCGATAAATCGATAGATATCGATATCTAGCCAGACAATTCACTTAAATTTCGAAATGTGCGTTATTATTAAACTTCAAAGTGTTAAATCTGTTCGTTATCGATAACTATCGATAGTCATAAATCGTAGATGAGGTGAGATCTAGAGAAAGCACAGTTCATATGCAGGTTAGGGATATGGATATGTGAATGGATCGAGCGCAATTCCACTCTTCCCCTGAAGATTCTTTAATAGTTTTAACACGATATCGATAAATATCGATAGTTAGAGATGGTAGATTATGAGCGCTAGAGACAGCTCATTAAATTATGTAGGTATGAGGTATAGACATGTGTGAATTCTTCGCCTTGGAAAAGTTATCGATGCACGTTCATCAACTGGAGATTATTTCAGTGTTAAATCAGTTCGATATCGATAAATATCGATAGTCATATATCGTAGGTTTTGAGAGCTAGAGACAGCACGGCTAATATGTGTGTTTGGAATATGGACAAGTGTGGATCGAGCGTCATTCCAGTCTTTCCCCTCAAGGCTCTTCAAGCCTCCTTGATGAAGTTATCGATATGTTTAGCAGACTTGGAAAAGTTATCGATATGCTTATCAGGCTCAGGCCACATTTGTCTCAGAGACCGTCAACTTCAATCAGAGAATGCATTAAATTTGTAAAAGCAGGGTATCTGGCGCGTCGTGTTGACTCTCACCTGCAGAGAGCAGAGCATGGCGCAGTCGGTGGCACTCGACTGGAATTGTTTTTCTTATTTATTTTTGGTGCTGGGTGCGAAAACATGACTAACCAAAATGCAAATTTCTTCTAACACACACACACCCACACACACACGAATACACACGCATACACACGTACGTACGTTGTTCTGGTGTGGGACAGGCGGCGGAGATGGTCAGCTGGAGGAGCATGGCGCCATCGTGGCCACCATCGAGGATCATCTGCAGCTGCAGCTGCAACAGGCCGAGGCGGAGGCGATCGACGACGCGAATGCCGCAATTATTCACGACGATCAGCAGCCGCTCACGAACAGCTTCGGGTTGGGCGTCGGGATGGGAATGGGAATGGGAATGGGGATGGGGATGGGTATGGGGATGGGTCTAGGTTTGGGATTGGGTCATGGAATGGCGACGAACTCGATGAGCTCGTTCGGCGTGGTCGAGGGGCCGGACAGATGACATTCGGCGGCCGTCAATCAGAGCGAGAACAACAATTCGGTTGTGATCGTTCTGGTTGACAACAAGCCCAGCTCGATGATCTGCAAGGAGGGCAGCCGCGTGGACATCGATTCGGGCAGCAGCCGGGAGCCGCCGCAGACAATTATGACCAATTCGCTGACATTGGGCAATGGCTACAATACGCTCCAGCACAGACGCAAATCCCAATTGATCACATTCAGCGCCAGCTCCTGTGATATCAAGAACAGTCTCAGTCACGAGCTAATCCCAACTGGCGGGCGAAACAATGTGCGGCTCAGCTTTGCCGAGGAGGAGCCCAGGCCGACTCTCGACGAGGATGTCTATCGGCGGCGATCGCTCGAGCTGGGCGTGGAGCTGCAGCTCAAGGAGCAAATGGCCGAGCAGCAGCACCACGAACAGGATGTGCAGGAGGAGCAGGAGCAGGAGGAAGAGGAGGACGAACAGGAGGAGGAGGATCAGGAGGAGGAGGAGGACGAACAGGAGGAAGATCAGGAGGAGGATCCGGAGGAGGAGGTGCCGGAAGATGTGCTCTACATGCACGACGAATTCGAGACGCACATCGACGCCAAATCGAACAATGCCAACGATGACAGCGGCGGCGGCAGCTACGAGGATTCCCATGCGCTGCACAGCTCGCTCGGCGGCAGCAATCGCAACAGCTTGGAGAAGGACGACGATGACATCGAGGTGGATGTCATCAGCACCGATGTCAGCTGCTATGACCAGCTCCTGGGCAACTCCTCGGCTCCAGCCGATGGCGAGGACATTGCCACGCTCATCGGCGACGCGGACAGCTACAACAAGCTGGGGGGCAAGTTGGGGGGCGGAGCTCCTCCTGCTCCTGCTGCTGGTTCTGGTTCTGGTTGTGGGTCTGGTCTCGGTCTCGGTCTGGGTCTGGGTCTGGGTCTGGGGGGTGTGTCCAATCTGGCTGCACTGGAGCCAGCTGGAGGCAGCAGCGGCGGCGGTGGCGGCATCATCTATGCCAATCCTTTTATGGGTTTGTAATATTTCACGCTCTCTCTCTCTCTCTCTCTTGCATGCTAGCTCCCTCTCTCTCTCTCTCTCTCTCTTTTCACTGCATGTGTCTCTTCTCAGAGTTGCGTTTTGTGTTCCTTGTACTTGTTGTTGTAGCTGTTGCATGCCATCCACGCTTCATTAATTATTTGATTTATTATTATTATTATTATTATTATAATTATTATTTTATGCCCTTGCAGTCCATTAAATTGGGGCCTGTTTCACAGCTTTTGCCAAATTGGAAACTGGGCTGATTTTTAAAGCTCCTCATTATACGGGAAAAATGGGTGAAAAAGTTAAATTTCAGTTTTTCTGGCTCAAACTCAATTCCAGAGATCTTTGCAAGAGTTCATTTGAGGCTTATTTCACAGCTTTTGCCGTATTCACGCGCTTGAGTGGAAACTGGGCTCATTATACGGGGAAAATGGGTGGAAATTCCAGTTTTTTTGTAGTTTTTTTATTCTAAAAACCTGCTCATTAATATGTTTAATATTTAATATGTTTACCTGATCTGCTTGAGAATGGAATTGTATATAAATATACCTTTATATAGCTTTATATATAATTTCTGCAAGGGTATTCAAACTTCGGCACATCGAAGTTCATTTTGTTGCCTTTGGTTTTAATTTTGTGTTAAATGTTTTGAAAATTTGATAACAATTGCTAATATTTTGTTTAATGCTTGCAGATGACGAGGGCATCGCGGAGTCGGGCATGTAAAAAAAGCAGCCGAGCCAGAGGAAAGAAATACGCCCCGCCCCGCCACGCCCCGCCCCGCAGAGCTCTTCCATCCCCCCCACCCCCCCACCCGATGAATCCATGTGGCAAAACTACATAATTAAATTTACTTAAGGCAACGCTTGATATTATTCTCGATATGGCATATACATATATATGTATATATATCTTCCATATACATGTATATATATATATATATAGTACTACGTCTGGATTGGATGTGCTATATATATAGACAGCCACTTTTTATATATATATATATGTATGACAAATATTAAAAAAAATATTATCAATTAAATTAAAGATCTGTTGTGTAAACCGATTCGAAGGTGCGACCAAATACATATACATATATATATATGTATATATATATGTATTATATGCATATGTGTATCGGTCAAGCTATTGAGTTCGTGCTGCAGCACAGGCAACTATATACCCTTTCTATATATACATATATATATATCTATCTATATATATACCTATACATATACATATATCAATCCAATCCTGTATTGTCTAATGGATACTACCGATATTATTATAACTGACAACATATTTTTATTGCTAGCCACAATTTTTTGTAATGTTATATATACATACATATATATATACCTATATATATATATATACCTATATGTAACTTCCAATTTTTGTACACTAAATGTTAGTTGAGAAAAAGAAAAAACAAAAACAGAAGAAAAAAAAAAAAGGAGCGCCAAACGGTTTTTTTTATATACATATACTATATATACTTGAAATAAGCTAAACATTAAATAACTAAAAGAAAATCAAGAAAATAAGCTCTGCTTGATCACATACACGATATATATATATACATATATATATATATACATAGCACATACATGTGTACATATACGTAAAATGTATGTAAAAATTGCAATAATTCAGTTACATAGTTTTAAACAGAAAACCAACATGTTGCAGCATCTAATTTGTAGTCTATTGCTATTATTATTATTATTATTTTTTTTTTTTCGTAAACTATATGATATTATCAACGATATATAAACAAAATCTTTGTATATGTGTGTAATTTTGATGTACGTATGTGCTACTTTAATATTGTTTAATTATATAGAATTTTATTTAAAAAAAAAAAAAAACAAACAAAAAACAGAGTCAAACATTTTGTGTTTATTTTTTACTTTCAATAAATACAATTTAAAGCTTTTCGTTTAACATCAAACATGGCAGGCTAACAGCGCCAGGTGCTGTTAATGCGCTGGCGCTGTTAGCTTAGCAGACACAAATCACTTAACAGAAGCCGTACACCGAGCAATTACAACAACAACAACAAAAAACAAATGACCAACGCATTTCAGCAAAGGCGATAATCATTTACACAGCAGAACAAAGACATAAGATAAACACAAATAACTTGCATTGTTTTTGGTTTTTTGCATGTATGCATATGTACTGTAACAGAACAGTATGTTAAGGTAGAGTCTGTAGCTTAACAGTAAGCTAATTAACATAAGCAATTAGCCGGTGCCAAATCACATACACACACACACACACACACACAGAGAGACACACGCATACACATACACAAAAGTAGCAGCTATAGCAGTAACTAAACTAACGGTAACAATAACAATTTAGCAATAGCGAAAAACAACAAATATAGTAAAATTTCAGTTGCCAGCACAATTTGTTCCAGCTTAGTTGAAATTAGTTGATAATGTGCAATAGAAACGTTTTTGCTTTTAGTCTAGTTAACAGCATAACTGTATTAAAAAACAAAAAACTAACAACGAAACAAGTGCTCCCCCCTCCAGCCCACAGGCCAGAAATGTGCAATTCACACTCACACATACACATATACACACAAACGAGTATAAACTCAACAATACATATGCATGAATGAATAACTAACAAGTCTGCAAGAGTTTCGACAAGCTAGACTTGACATATACATATATAAACGAAATACATATGCATATACAATATATATATATACATATAAAGGTACATCTATATCATTGTAATAATTTGTAATGTTTATCAGTAGAATTATGAAACCAAAATGAAATGCATATTAAAAGGCAAGAAAAAAAAAGTAACAATTGTAATTCAAATTAATTTGCAACGGATTTTATTGATGTCCAACACTGCGCGACAGTTATCGATGCGGCGCATACAACTTATCGATACGCAAGCGTTATCGAGCACTTTTTTTGGTTTTTTAATTTCAAAGCTGTTTGAATTTTACATTGTTTTTTTTGTTTTTTGGAATTAAACTACATTAGAGCTAACAGAAATTTGTTTACAATTAAATATATACACGTACATACAACTTACAAGCAATTAGCGCTAATATTAAGGCATAAGAACTGATGAATTTGATTAGAAAAATTGCAGTTCGATTAGTGCGCGCCCTCGTTGCCCTTCATGTTGGCTAGCGTTGCGTCCAGCTCCGATTGGATGTGCTCGAATTGATTGAACAGCTGCTGCAGCTCCGGCTGCGTCATCTCAAAGTTGATGTCCTCGCCGGCGCCCGTCTTCAGCTGCAGCACGGCCAGCGCCGTCTTCTCGCGCTGCTGACAGTGCGAGGCAATCTCCACGTTCAGCTTCCATGCCATATCCTCTATCACATTCGACTCGTAGCGCTCGCTGGCCAAATTGTTCAGCATCGGCGTCGTCTGACGCACCCACAGCCGCAATATGGCATCGATTTTCGCCTCGTCCTGCAGCTGCAGCTTGTCGCGCAGCTCGCGCTGCAGGTGGCTGGGCTTGATAATGAACGTCGAGATGCGACGCAAGATGTACGAGAATGTTTTGATCAGCAGCAAGAAATCGGCACGCGGCACGCCCACCAAACGTTCCAGCTCCTCCAGCGTATACTCCGGCTCGCTGCTCGTGTGGCTCGTCTCGATGCTGCTGCCCGTTCGTTCCGTGGTCGTCACGCTCGTTCCCACCGTGCCGCCTGCCGTCGCATTGCCCGCGACGCTGGCGGCGCTAGCAGCGCCGCCGGCAGCCGAAGCCGCTGAGGACGCACCAGCAGCTGCGGCAGCGCTCGCCGGACTCATCTGGCGGTGGACGTAGAGCAGCACCGTGGTGAAGGTATCGTAGGGCAGAGCATTAATGATTTTGATGCCCTCCCGTGCACTTAACGGCAATTCGAACACGTTCAGTAATTGTTTAGACAAATGGATGCTTGAATTGCGCTTACCGCTCCGTTATTTTGATCCAGTTTATGCTCATCTCTCACAACAATGATAATAACAATAGGAATTTCTGAAATGCACAATCAGTGCTGCCAACTCACTGCAAAAATGCCTCTTGCCAACACTTGCCAATTTGAGTAAAACGCGCGCTTTCGCTTATTTGAAAGCAGGCAATCAGAAAACATATTTGCAAATACAAATATTGCTGCAAAAATGTTAAGTTTACTTATTAATTGCAAATAGTCATGAACTGTGAATTAGACTCTATAACTCTGCAGATGTGTGTAAATATTGCATTTGCATAACATTTGCCAGTGTGTGCAAATAGCTGCCTCGAAAATAATTACTGCTGCTTGCAAAAAATGAGTTGCTGCCAACTTCTTTTTATCGATTTTATCACATTCGACAATGTGGCAGCGCGTGCGCTCAAAATTCCGCGTCAACGAATTTGTTGATGTTATTTTGACCAGCAAAAAGCTGAAGTGTCTGCTTACTAGCCGAATACCTAAAATTATCTAGCATATTTATTTTTGTTTAGATAAACTGCATTCAATCACTAACCAAATAACATATAGACCGGACAAACCCTACTTTTGATGGTGACATTCGATATTTCTGCGGCTGGTCCAAACTCGCCTTCGTTTTTGTTCGGGTTCGAGACATGCTCGCATGCTCTCAGAAGCAAGAGAGTAAGAATACATATGGCCTGTGTCGGGGAACGGCAACGCTGTCTTTTTACTCGCTCACTCTACAAGAAACTGCTGTGGCTTACTCTCATCCATATGATTTGTGCGATAGAACGGCATCGCTGTTTTTTATCTCGCTCCCACTACAAGAAACTGCTTTGGCTTACTCTCAATGCTCTTTCAATTTGTCTATGTACCGTTTAAATGTTTGTGTGTGTATGTGTCCGCACAAGCAAAAATGCCCACAAATTCAATTTTTCTCAAAAGTCGGTGGCATATCTTCCCTTTTGAGGGGACGAGTAATATAAAATAATGAAAGGGTTTGCCCCGTCGATGCGAAATTCTTTCATTTTAGCTCGTTCTTCTTCGAAAGGGTACCTAAGCGTTGGCAATTGTGCATTTAAAAGTTTTTGGACTTGCTATTCACGCATACTTGCGTATTTTGTATATGAATAGAAGCATTTATGCGCTTGTGTGCCTGTTGGTCCCTGCCTGCCTGTCCGATGCAAATTTGGCAATATTTTTGGACTTCTGAATTTCGAGCTCTGCGCACACACACACAGAGACACAAATGTGTGTGAATGGGCTGATCATGGGCGCAAAATTTAAAAATATCATTATCACGCGTCTGACGCGCGCCCTTCTTTTTATGATTTAGGGCTTGAATTGATGAATGAATGTTGACCCCTTATTACCTGCAGATCCAATTCATATATGAAAAAGCTAAATATTTTAAGACAATAAAATTATTAATACTATAAATATATAATTGCTCCTTTTTTGTATTTGGTATATGTGAATATTTTAAAGAGTTTATTTTTTACACAAATTTCCTAAAATTATTTAAGTGATCAATCACTTGACCTACATATGCAGGTGCAGGTGTTTGCCAAAAGTTGACCCTTTCGGCCCAACGGGCTGCTGCAATTAATAAGGGGTCAACATTCATTCATCAATTCAAGCCCTAAATCATAAAAAGAAGGGCGCGCGTCAGACGCGTGATAATGATATTTTTAAATTTTGCGCCCATGATCAGCCCATTCACACACATTTGTGTCTCTGTGTGTGTGTGCGCAGAGCTCGAAATTCAGAAGTCCAAAAATATTGCCAAATTTGCATCGGACAGGCAGGCAGGGACCAACAGGCACACAAGCGCATAAATGCTTCTATTCATATACAAAATACGCAAGTATGCGTGAATAGCAAGTCCAAAAACTTTTAAATGCACAATTGCCAACGCTTAGGTACCCTTTCGAAGAAGAACGAGCTAAAATGAAAGAATTTCGCATCGACGGGGCAAACCCTTTCATTATTTTATATTACTCGTCCCCTCAAAAGGGAAGATATGCCACCGACTTTTGAGAAAAATTGAATTTGTGGGCATTTTTGCTTGTGCGGACACATACACACACAAACATTTAAACGGTACATAGACAAATTGAAAGAGCATTGAGAGTAAGCCAAAGCAGTTTCTTGTAGTGGGAGCGAGATAAAAACAGCGATGCCGTTCTATCGCACAAATCATATGGATGAGAGTAAGCCACAGCAGTTTCTTGTAGAGTGAGCGAGTAAAAAGACAGCGTTGCCGTTCCCCGACACAGGCCATATGTATTCTTACTCTCTTGCTTCTGAGAGCATGCGAGCATGTCTCGAACCCGAACAAAAACGAAGGCGAGTTTGGACCAGCCGCAGAAATATCGAATGTCACCATCAAAAGTAGGGTTTGTCCGGTCTATATGTTATTTGGTTAGTGATTCAATCAAGCTGGGGCCAATATCGATAGCCGCTGTAAAGCCGAACATCGATAGCTGAGCCGATAGTTGTGTGAAAAACAACCCAACACTGTTCAGTTGTTGGGAGCATTTTAGCGCAGCGAATGCGACTTAATTGCATTTGTACCGAGTGCAGCAGTGTAAAGAAAGTGCGCGTATACAATATTTATTTAAGTAGCTGCTTATCAATTATATCCATGCATACAACTATCAGACATATGTGCACAAATACGAGTTAAGCCCCACCGCACTGAATTGAACGCAAAAGTAAGCAACTCAAATATGCAAAATGTTTATGTTTATGCTCGCGCCTATGTGTGCGTGCGTGTCTGTTTGAGCATATCTTGTGTGTGTGTTTGTGTGTGTGTAAATAAACAGAGCCCGGCTCTTAGCTCCTAATTTGGACACCAGCCATTGGCCACCCCAAAAAGGGGGCTGTTCATTAATTTGCTGGCCGCCTTTGTTTTTGTGCGGCTTTTGTTTGTTACACGCTTTCTTTTCAACCCATTGCCAGACGACTGCAAAAGTTGCTGCTGCTGTTCCACACATTCAAACATACATATCCATAAGTGTGTGTATGCAGGCATTTAACTGTTTCTGTATGCATATATATATACATATGTGTGTGTGTGTGTGTGTGTGTGTGCGCATAGCTCAAAAGTTCTTGCAGCTTGTAAAAATCGATAATATGCACAGCGCGCAGCGTCGCTGCTGCCGCTTGTTTATTTTATGCTTCGTCTGCGATTTGCAGCCCCTGCTCCGCTCGGCTGCGCTGTGCACCCTTGCACACAAACACACACACACACAAACAGAGAGACAGTCAGACAGACACAACTGAGATACACACACGCACGCACACAAGCAGAAGGCAAATATGAAAAAACTATGATTTAAGCTGAGCTCTCAATTTGACACTTGCCGCACTCGCTCGCTCGCTCGCTCTCACTCACCCGCTCTCATACCCCCTCGCTCCGTCCCGCAAGGAGCGATCGCGCGAAGAGAAGAAACCCAAAACGAACGAAACGAAAAGTAATTCACTTGCATTTTTTTTTATATTCTCACATTTAGCATAGTCTTCATTTATGTTCTGCTTTTTTTTTCTCTCCGTTCTTTTTTTTTTAATATTTTTTTCACAATGAACAAATATTGAGGTTTCTTGCGTTTTTTTTCTTCTTTTTATTGAAAAAGAAAACAAAAACAGTTAATCCAATTAACAAAAATGACAAACAGCGTCAAGTCGACTTGTAAATGCACTACCAAAAATTTTAAATTCAATTAAATTTTTAAATAAATTAAAAAGCTAAATAAAAGTATTTAATTTTTGTTCATTTTTTAATTTAATAAAATATAACAGTTAATCCAATTAACAAAAATTACAAGCACGGCCAAGTCGACTTGTAAATGCGCTACCAAAATTAAAATTAAATTAAATTTGTTAATAAATTAAAAAATAAAGTAATTATATTTTGAAAATATAAATATAATAAGAAGCTCTCTAGTTCCCACCAAAACGCTGCTCAGTCGTGCGTGCCGCTTCGGTTAGGGTATCTGTGGGGTCAGTTGAGACTTGGACCCGCACTTTGGCATGTGTTTGGGCCTTGTCAGCGATGCGATGCAGGCCAGAGGCGCGCTTCAGTCGGTTGCGTTGGGCGCTGGGGTCAAGACGTCTGATTTGAATGCGCAATTTTTTTCGGTCACAGTCGGGGTCCATTAGCTGAGGCGATGCACTAATACAGAATGCCAATTGCAGCGCTAAATCTGGACAAAAATGTCTTCGCTGGAGCAACAGCAGCCGCAGCCGCCCCAGAAGCGACCCTCCTTGCACTTTGCCGCGGATGCCGGAACTGGAGCTGCAGCTGGAACTGGAGCCGGAACTGGAGCCGGAGCTGGAGCTGAGAGCATGTCGAACTGTTCACCGGCAACCACACCGCTGGGCAGCGCTGGCGGCGCCGGCTTCCTGCCGGACATGCCGCAATGGAAGAAGGATTTGATCCAGCGCCGCAAAACGAATGTGGCGCGTACAAATGCAGCCGCCTGCTCGCCCACCTGCGCGGCGCCACCAGCTGATGGCAATTGTGCCGCTTTCCAAGAACCTGCAGGTGAGTTTTATAAACCTGAACCACAATGCATACCCTTCTGTAAAGGCACGAGTAGCTTGCAGCTAAAACCATTCTTAAATCCTTTCTCAAAGCTTTCTTTCGTTCCAAAACCCTTTCTGAAACCCCTTTAAAACCGGTTTTAGTCATTAAACTTTATCTAAGCTAACTTATCTAACCAACTAATAAACTAGTTAGCAATTTTGGCCATACTTTGGCTATATTTAATAGCCTTTTCCTAAGCTGCAAAGCTGAGCTACAACCCATACCCTTTTTACCTTATAATCACGAATACTTTCCAATTGAAGCCCATCTAAAAACCCTTTTGCAACCGGTTTTGTAAGCCTTTTAATTTTCTTCTAGATATAAAACAATTAACTAACAATTGTATATTTCTGCTACATATAATACCCTTTCCCTAAGCTGCATAAATACCCTTCCCGTTTGTACCCTTATAATCACAAATACTTTCAGATTAAAGCCCGTCTAAAACCCCTTTTGCAAGCGCTTTGCCAGAATTTACCTTAATCTAGACTCATTTTTTGCTAGAATTTCTTTTGGTATTGTATTGAATACCCTTTCCTAAAGCTGCATACCAAATTTCATAAGCATACCCCAAACATTTCCCGAGTTTTTAAGGTATATCATACAAGAACAATTGTTCTATATACATGAAATTCCTAATGCAATTAGCTAGTTTATGCTTCAATAACGTCCATTGTCATTTCTTTTTCTCAAAATTTTGTCAACATGGCACAAATACTTCCTGAGCTATTAAGGGATGAAACACTTTGATGCCACACTAAAGATAGAAACAAACCCCAAACCAGAACTTAATTACAAATAATTGAATTTAATACACTTCTCTGAAGCTGTATACCAAATTTCAAGGTCATTGCAAAAGTAACACCTGAGTTATTAAAGGCTGAATGCGAGCTAAGCCTGGTTCAAACGGGTTATATTCAATATATAGTATACGTTATAGAAGCAATAATCCAACAATATAGTTAATACCCTTTCGTTGTTGTGCATACCCAATTTCATAAACATAGCTCAAATATTTCATGAGTTTTTCGATTCGGATCTTTTTCTGAACCACTCAAGAAACCAATTTTGAATCTAGCCGATAACCTAAATCTGGCATTAAAATGTGCCTTTATTACATTCAAAGGGAAATAAGTGGAAAATATTCTGGTTCTGTGTATACTAAGCAAGAGTCTACCTAACAAAATTGGTTTACCTAGCTCCAAAAAGCTGCGAGATATGCTCAAAGATCGCGTTTCCAAATCGAATCCTATCCATAACCAGAAAACTGGGCGAGTTATCGATCATTTTAAACAAACTCAATGTGCAAAACACATAGCAGAAACTGCATCCAAAATTTCAAGACTCTAGCTCTATTAGTTCTCGAGATGGAGACATGTATACACTATAAGGTGGCTCCATCTGCCGGCCACAAAACGAAATGCCCGTTCATTAAGATCGGTTCGGTAATTGAAGAAGTTTCATTCAGAAGTAAAGATAACAAACGGAAGTACTCATGCGTGAGGTATCGATATCGCTTCATGAAATCGCATATATATATATATATATATATTATATATATCCATATCGATATCTTTATATATATGTATATATATTATAACATGTGTAAGCTTGCTATTGGCTTTGCAGCTGGCGTCTAATTAGCCACGTTAATAAGTGAGAGCTGATTAAGAACTAAAATTATAATTATCGAAAGCTGTTTGTTTTACCTGCTTGTTTATTTCACCTGTGAATATCGACACCCAGCACACAGATGCACAGCTGTTCTTGTTGGGTGTGAGTAATCGTTTATCGATAACAGCGAACGCGGCTGTTTTTGCTTGAATACCCTGTAAACCGATTGACAATATGTGTATGTAGGAGGCTATATTAAATTTATGGAAGTATACCCCTTGATATCAAGTGTATAAAGAAGGCTATATTGATTTAACAGGAGTGTATGTAACAGATGCAAATAGCTACTCCTGGATCATCGGCAACAGCTTAGCCATCAATCGCTGTCAATCTCAGAGCTTGAAGCCCTACATTGCTGCACGCTTATCAAGTTTTCTTTAAAAACAATCGATGACTTCATTTTGTGAGCCCGATATCGATACATATCGATGATGAGCCTTGATTTTTTGAGCATATCTCGAAGATTATAACAGCCTGATATTGATTTTCGTTCCAGTTTTGTTTTACCTTTTAAAATACTCCAAAGATATAGATAGATCTTTGGTATATGCACTTCATTAAATGTCATGTTAAAGTAGGACAAATTTCAGCAAGATCGGACTTTAAACACCGAAGTTGCTTATGAACCCATAAGTTGGAGGCTGAGTAGAAAGAAGAAGCACATGCCTGTAGATGTAGATATAGATGTATAGAAGGAGGGTCGAATGTATGTAAAGCAGCTCGTAGCTGAAAACAGGGTATCTGCTAGTCGGTCAGGTGTGTGCATGTATAAATAGAAGGAAGTCGAAATATATATATGTATGTACATTCATGCGCATGTTAAACGAACTGAAAACTGGTTACAGGGTATCGGCTAGTCGGGCAGAGGGTGTGTGTATATAAGAGGAAGTTGAAATGTCTAAAACGTACGCATGTTAAACGAACTGAAAGCTGGTTACAGGGTATGCGAGATAGTCGGGCACTCTTGATTAGAACACACACTTGGCCGTTATTTTGGTCGCTTGCTACCTGCTCTTATCAAATGCTATCAATTGATAATTGAACTAAAATTCAATGCAAACGTTCGCCAGTTACAGTTACTCACATTGTTGCTGCTATTTTGTGTCTACTATTTTGTTTATTTTTAGTTTTTATTTTTACCAACAGACTTGAATTTGTCATCAATTTGAGTTTCGTTTTATGGCCAATTTTATTGCAGATTCAGGTGCGACTGAAGGCAGCGCAGCCGCAGCAACAACTAGTCAACAACAACAGCAACAACAACAGCAGCATGTGAAACGAAATGTAAGCCAAACACAACAACAACAACAACAACAACAGCAACAGCAACAAGCAGCATTTAAGACTTCACCAACAGAGGAAAAGTCTGAGAAATGTTTTATTGGAAGTGGAGGTCATCAGACGATTCCAGCAGCAGCAGCAGCAGCATCGGCATCGGCAGCGGCGGCAGCAGCAGCAGCAACAGCCCAAAGTACACAAGGCAAAGACTTAGCCACGGCCTTTTCAGCAGAAACGGCAGCATCAGCAACGGCAGCAGCAGCGACGGCGGCAGCGGCACCAATACCAAAGCAGCGATCAAGTTTATTCAACACAAGAAGTCAATCAACTGGTAAGGAGCAAGAAGAGATTCTAAATTTGGATACCAGAGAGCGTGAGAGAGAGCGCGAGCGAGCGTGCGGAGAGCGTGACGTTGAGGTGAATAGCGCTAGCATGGTGTATGCGAGCGTGCGCTCTGGTGAAGTTGAAACTGGCACAGCGACAACTGGAGCATTAACAGCAATAGGCAGCAGCAACAGCAGCGGCGTCAGCGGCAGCGGCAGCGCAAATGTGAAACAAACGGCAGCAACAGCGGCGACTTCGTCGTCGTCAGCAAATCAGTTGCAAACGAAATGCAAACCAGGCCAGAGCGTTGCTGAAGCAGCGCCAAGCAATTACATTAGCAGCAGCAGCAGCAGCAACATAAGCAGCAGCAGCAGCAATACGCCAATTTTAATTGATAAAAATTGTAAATCGAAAATATCCGACAAATTGCAGAGCAACAAGTTTATTAAAAATCAACAACAACAACAACAGCAGCAGCAACTGGAACGCCAAACGGCCGCGTCGCCCACAAAAGTAGCGGTAAAAACGACAATGGTCGCCATGCAAGAAATGAAAAAGACAACCACACAAAATGGCCAACAACGTCATCATCACCATCATCATCAACATCATCATCACCAGCAGCAACAGCAGCTGCAGCTGCATCTGAAAAGCGCCGATGCCGACATGGACGTTGGCGTCGCTGCCCTACAGCCAACGCTTTTGGACGCCGTCGATCACAACGAGGATCTCAGCTATGGACCCGGCATTGTGTCCAAGCTGCGCTGCCGCTATCTAAATCTGGCGTTGCGCTGCGAGTCGCGCCAGCAGAGCCAAAATCAACGACTGCAGCGCTCGACGAGCCTCAACACGCTGCTCGATCGCAATGACGACGACGACGTCGAGGACGAGGAACAGCAGCAGCTGCAGCAGGTAAATAGCGCCACAATCGCCGTCGCTGCCGCAGTCAACGTCAATGTGACACGCAGCACTGCAGCGCCGCCCATACTAAGCGCCAAGCCAACGGGCAGCAGTTACATCAAAAGCGTCAGCGTCTTGCAGCAGCAGCAGCAGCTACGCCAGCAGCAGCAGAAGACGGCGCAGGAGCAACAGCCGGCGTCGACGCCGCTTAACGGTAACGCATTGCGCTCGCGTCATTTTAAACGCGGCAACGAGGTGATGAAACGCGCCCGATCCGTCGAGGCGCTTCTCTGCGAGAAGTCGCCGTGGAATACGCAGCGCGCCAGCTATCAGGCGGCAGCGGTTAATAGCAGCGCAGTCGCTGCCACGGCCACGGCCGCAGCCACAGGCACATCGGCTGCCCCAGCCACGCCCACCTGCGTCAGCATCGAGGATAAGATTCACAATGCACGCGAGCGCCTGCACAGCGGTACCGATGCCACGCCCCCAAAGCGTCTCACCTCCATAATCGATGACACCGAACGCCCACCGCCGGACCTCGTCAAGCAGACGCTGAAAATGTTCGAGGCGAGCGCCAATCGGCGACCACGCGCCACCCAGCGCAGCAACGGCGTCGGCGGCGTCGCCAGCAAAGTTGCCAGCTACAAGTCGATTATTAAGGAGCAGAAGCCAAACAGCGCTGGCGTCAGCAGCAGCAGCAGCAGCAAAGTGACGGCAGGATTTGCTGCCTCGACACCCAAGCAGCGCGTCGGCAGCGCCAATGTTCATGCTGTCGTTCCAGATATCATTCCCAGACAGCTGGAAGTCAGCTGTGCCTACGATTCGCCTGTGACGAGCATTACCAAAATGATGGAACGCATGCAGCTGGAAGCGCCAGATGGTGCGGGAGTGGGCGCGGTTGCGGGTGCTGGCAGCAACAATCATCGCTTAGTCAGCGATCAGCAGCGAACGCAGGCAGCAGCTGGCGAGGCTGACGTTGACGACGACAACGACGACAGCAGAGACGAAGACAACAACGAAGGCAACGAAAGCAACGTGGACGGCGACGCTGCAGCTGAAGCTGGCGGCGACGGCAAAGGCGACGGCGACGGCAACGACGTTTGCAATGGCGTTAAGTTGGGCGAGGCAGGCGATAAGTTAACAGCAACGCCGGCAGCGCTGCCGCTGGATGACGCAGGAGGCGTCGGCGGCAGCAGCGGCAGCGCCCAGCGCTCATTTGCTGCCGCCTTGCAAGAGAACGCGCACGCTTCCAGCACGAGTTCGAGTTCCAGCAGTCGAAAACTGTCGCAGCGCAGCAGCGATAACAGCGAATACACAACAACAACAACAACAGTAGCACCAACAACAACAACAACAAAGCAAATTGGTGTCATCAGGCCGCTGCTGAACAACTCCGGCTCCAGTTCCGGCTGCGGCACGCCGCTGACCAGTCGCGAGATTGAAAAGAATCGCATTAATGAAATGAAGAAATCAACGGCACTGGCTGCAGACGCAGCTGCTGCCGCCGCCGCCGCAGCTACTAGTCTCGACACCGTGATAAACACCAAGGATGGCAGCGAATTGGACGCTGCAGTGGCCAGCGGCATCTCACCCATTTGGCCGTTGCGCAAGCGCCGACAGCCGACAGGTGGCGCCAATAGCAGCGGCGGCGTCGCCAGCAGCAGCTCCCATGCGGACAGCAACACCTCCATGGTGTTCAACTTCTCTAAGAGCGGCAAGGAGGTGCCAGATTATATTGAAAGCGATGTTGTGATCTACAGACGTAAACGGGAACTGCCAAAGGTGAGTAACGCATGCATAACGCATTACGCACAAATACAATTACAAATACAATTCCCACCATAACCCCCCACCGCCCCGCCCCTGGCACTGGCACTGGCCTAGCCAGCTGTTTGCTGTTGCTTTCATTGCTTATCAGCAATCGAAGTCCGCTCTCACCCCCTCCACTGCGTGGAATGCGGCGCCGTTGCGCATTATTCATGCTTATTTTCTGTATGAATTATTATATTTCTTCTTAATCTTTGCAAGCCCCCTTCATACGCACACACACACACACACAGACTTGCCTTAACAAGGCCCCCAATATATTCACACACACACACATGTGTACATAATTTGTGTTTGTGGCCTCTACTTTTCGCTTGCCATATAAACAAATACGAAACAAAGCGCCCACCAACAGAGCAAGAGCCAGAAAGAGAGAGAGAGAGAAAAAGAGTACGCAAGCGAGAGAGCGTGGAAGATCATGCGCATTTTGGAAAGTTCAACAATAGCAACAAAATGTAAAGAATGTCAAAACATTGTGCGCTTCCACAAAAGCTATTAAGCAACTGTAAAATGTCGCATCAAGTGGATCCTGTAATCTGTTTGTTTCAATTAGAGATGAAACCGTGTCGATTTGTTTCAATACGATACGCACGACCTTGTAAATGTAAAAAAGAAATTGAACTTCGCCAATTTGTCAACTATTTATTTAGAGAAAAGTTTATTTTGACTTCTATTGTATAAATATTTTTTGTTGCTTAATTTCATTTGAAATTTTTCTCATACATTTCTGTGTCACGAAAGAAAGCACGACACGTGCCCAACTCTAGTTTTAGCATCCGCCAATTTTATAGGAAGCAGCTGAAATTCAATTCCTTATACATATACGTATGTACTATGTGTGTGTTTGTGTGTGTGTGTGTGTGTGCTGCGCGTGACGCTGAAGCGCAGCTTGCCGAGTGACCTTCTAAATGTTTGAATGATGCGCGCCCCATGTGAGAAAGGCGCATGCAATTGTCTGAGCGCTATTTCAAGCTTGACTTGCGATCGTCGCATCATGGAAATTGCTCACAACCGCTTTGCCCAGTGTTCGATAAATTCGAATTATGCAAATGTTTCGCTGATCAATGTCCAAACATGTGTACATACATACATATGTATGTATGTATGTACATATTTTGTCAAGTATGGGTGTGTGTTTGTGTGTTTGTATTCCAGACGCTTTGCTTAACATTAAAAAAATGTTGGATGCATTGCTGCTGCGATTGGCAAATTCTTCCTCTTTCTGCCTGCGATTGCATTGCAAAAACCCGTTTTGCACACACACAGACATACATTTGTGCACATAATATGTATATACATACATATACACATATTACGATATTTCTTCGTTTGTTCTTTGCTTCCTGCTGCTACATATGCACACGACGTATGCATACATATGTATGTACGTACATATGTATGTGTACATAGGCTAAAGCAGACAAAGATATATTATGACTTATAAAGGAGAGCATTGAACGAGCGGGACGCATGTTGTGGAGCTCTTAGGTGCTGTGGTGAATTGCTTCTGTTTATGGAACGGAGACGGAGCAGGGTGGCTGCAGGGCGCGTTGGCTTGCACAGCTGTTTTTCGAACGCAACTGTGTTGAACAAAAGCGCTCTGCTCAACACAAAGCCTGCTCACACTCGTTCTCCCTCCGACTCTCTGGCGCGCAAAGCACGCGATTGCTCTGACGCTCTTGCTCTTCCTCTTGCTCTTGCTGGCTGGTAAACCCGTTTTTTGTGCCACACTCTGAACTCAATTTTGTCAATTCTTTTTTGACGTTCAATTCTGGTCGCTTTTGCTTTATACATTATGTTGTTCTTGTTAGTCTCTTTATGTATAATACATACATATGTATGTGTATATAGGTTTTTTATTTTTATTTTTTTTTTGTTATCTGTGCCTGAACTTTATTATCTGTTGTTGGTTACATGCCGTTCATTAGGTTCGGCGTCTGACATGGCGAGAAATGGGACAGCTGTGATTCAGAGCGACCGATATCGACCTCGAAACAGACCACCACCACCCCCCCCCCCCCCTTCACTTGAAGCTTTTAAGAAATTTTGTTTCATTCAAACGTTTCATTTGTATATTTTCTCAATTTTTAGCCAAATGAACCGGGCTTCGTGCTGCTGGGCGACCTTTCGGTGGAGACATCGACAGACACGGACTACGATGATTATTCAATGTGCCCGCCCTCGCCCTGCGACGTCGAGTTCGAGAATGCGAATATTGTGATCGACGGCAAGTCCAGCATACGCCAGAAAGCCAAAGATTCATCGGTGAGTAGACAACCCCCCTCTCCCCACCACACCCCACCCATCCTTCTCTCTCTCTCTCTCTCTCCGTCTCCCCATTTACGCCGAAATCTGCCCAAATTGATTTCCGCATTAATGGAGGCTCCCCGTTATTACAAACAAATTTTCCTCATTGTGACTAACTACATATTGTGATACACACACACACACACACACACACATGTTAGTACGTACTACTAGCACGTTAGTCATGACTAATGCCCACTCACCGTAATACTTGAGTTGCCAGATAGTGTGGGTTCTTTTTTTTTGGTTCTGTTTTTGTTTGAAAAGGATAAGATAAGATTAGTTGTTGTTCTTGTTGTACAGTGTGTGGGCCACCAATTGATTGTAACGGCAGCTACGACTAGTTTTTTTTTGTTTTTTGTTTTTTCAACGATCCACAAGAATTTGTCGCATTGTAATAATAACCAGGTCTTATCGGATATCGAGATATCAGTTTTCGGTACAGGGTATTGACCATTTGCCAGCTGAAAACTGAAGTTAGGCCATATAATAAAGACAGATTGTACAATACAGTACAAGCCAAAATTCTCAATTTGTTTTAAAAACAACAAAAGAAACATTTGCAGACTTGATTTTGTTTAGGAATTAAGAACTTTAAAGAATTATATATATTTATTAGTCTATTCAAAGAGCTTTAACCGCAGGCTGTCCACTCGAGAATGCTTTCACTGTACTAGATATACCCTATGTTTATTCTAGTAGCGGGTATTTTCGGTTTGTGCCGTTTTTTTTCGGCATTTTTAATTGCTGCTGCGTATTGGCCTTAATTTCACTTTCGTTTAACTTTTAATCGCTGTCAAAATAAAAAATAAAAAAAAAACAGTTGTTAAACAATTAACAGCAATTATACTTTCAAGCGTGCGGTTAGTATTTCGTTTCGTTTTATTTGATTCATTTTTTTCTAAATTTTCTTTTGAAGTATTTTTCCCTTCGTCACAAATTCATATTTTTTGCACGCTTGTATTAAGGGCAGTAGAAGGAGAAGAAGCATAAGAAAACTTACTTGAGCCACTTTCATTTGCTTTTGTTTCTTTTTATCGGTCGTCGCTTTGCTCTGCGATACGTTCCGGAAGAAGCAGAAGAAGGCTGCGGAAGAAGCTGCTCGTAATCTGCGCAGATTAAATGTTGTTAACATGTTGTTAGCGCTGTTAACATGCTGGTAATCTGTTAACCTGTAAACGTACTGTGAGGGCTGTTAACATGTTGTTAAGCTGTTTACATGCTGTGAGGGCTGTTAACATGCTGTTAATCTGTAAACATGTTAAGCTGTTAACATGCTGTAAATCTCTTAAAATGCTGTTAATCTGTTAAAATATGGCTAGCGCTGATAACATGTTGTTAATTTTAGAAGAAACTTAGCTTTTAATCATTGACAATATCATTGAAATCGAAGAGCTACATCATTAAGTTCTGACAGATAGGGTATTCGAGCTGCGACTACAACAATTGGAACTATTCTAAATCGTTTTTTTTTTATTTATGTTTTTCATTTCCTTGTGCGTTATCATTAACTTATTTATTTATTTGTTGCTGCCGTCGCTATTAATCAAAATGCATTAAAAGTGGCTTTTTAGGGGTTTCTCGTTGTTCTTTCAAAGTGGTTTTATAAAGTGTGGTATGAAGGGAGGTGTTTTGGGTGGGGGAGGGGCGGGGGGATTGTGGTTAGGGTGCGTTTCATCAATGTGACAGATATCGAGCATGTTGTTTTTATATAATTAACCGTTCGTTTCGTTCGTTTTACAGTTCCGCGTACAATTTAACGATACGTTAACGTCAACGTTTGAATATCCCTCCGAGGCATCGCAGACCATTGACGATCCGCCGTATGCCGATCCCTACGGCAATGTTACCAAGCATCATCAGCTCTTCTACGAGGAGCACCTCAGGTTGCAGCACCAGCAACAACAACAACAACAACAGCAACAACAACAACAACAACAACAACAGCAGCAGCAGCAGCAACAACAACAACAACAACAACAACATCATCATGTTACAGTCGATGAGATAATTGAGCTGCCGACAGCCGCGGCGACATCCTCCGCGTCGCATAAGACGTCGGCGACCAGCGCAATGCTGGGGAATTTACCATTAGGTAAGTGTGGCAACCCTGTCATAAGCATACTTACATACATATATCTACATATGTGTGCATATGTATATGCATGCCTGCCAAGAGCCGCAACTGCCTCTCTCTTGCTCTCTCTCTCTCTCTCTATCTGTGTTCTCTCTTTGTCTTTAATCAGTGTCTATATACATATATATATATACATACATGCATATCTCTGTCTTTTTTGTAGTGCTGTGCTCTTGAGTTTTAACACTTTTTATTGGCGCCATCTGTGCAGCGGGGAGGGGGGGTTAGACAGCAATTAGTACACTTTAACACAAACACGCTCTCTCACACACACACACACTCTCTCTCTTTCCCCCTCTCTCTCACCACCTCACATGCACGCAGCATCCTGTTATAACATACTCACCACACCTACATACAATACTCAACATACGATGTTCCATTTGCATTTGCATGCCAACAACAACAACAACAAGAAAAATCTCTGCACTTTACAGAAAACGCCACTGTTACAGTTAACATAGCGATTGCCGCTAACTCGTCCAATTCAACTAGCTTGTCTAGGGACTGGCTGAGGGGTGCCAGCGCTGCCAGGGCTGCGTGCTGCTGCTGCTGCTGCTGCCGCTGCCGCTGCCTGACGCCCTTCTGGCCATTGCTGCGTCAGTCCTGGCAATTGGCGTTGCCACCTGGCAGGCAGCTGATCAAAAGCTTTCGCAAACTAATTCAGCTCATCAGGTGGGTGGACGCCCAAGCAGCCAGCCCCCAAGCCCCTACCCCCTCCCCCCCTTTTAAAGCCCAAAAAAAAAAACTATGCTATCTCTAGCTCCCAGTCAACTGTGACCCTTGACACCTTGAAATGAGCACCCAAAAGCACCAAACGGCGCAGCCTGTCAGGCTTTCAATTTAAGCATCACGCATATTTGCAGATTACCCAAGTTTGGGGAGGGGTATTATTTTGCAACAGCCACAGCCACAGCCAATGGACGCCCCACAGCAACAACGACAGCCGCAGCAGCTACAACAACAACAACAACAACGTCGTAGACCGTCTGTTCTATTGAAGCCGCAATATGCCTGCTTTCTGCAAAATGATGCAGTGCAGCCGTCACAGCTGCCGCCGCCGCATCAGGCAAAGCGCAAAGCTGCCTCCTTCTCGCATGCCGCCAAGCCACAACAGCAGCCGCAGCAGAGTAAATATATTAAACATACTCCAACAACAACGACGACTACAACAACAACAACAACAACAACCTGCATAAATGGAAGCTCCTTGAGTCGCCGTCGCGCCAGTCTGCCTGTAGCCGCCAACCAGCTGTCGTCGACGTCATCGGCGTCTTCGCTAGCGCTACCCAACGCCTCCACAGCCCTGCTGCAGGCACGCATACCAGGCAATACACTCTACTATGTCTGATCCGAAAATTGAACCGTCGCGGAATCGCTACACAACTCCAAAAACTCTGCTTAACTGCTCTCCGATCAATCCTGTCTCTGTGAAACGTAGGCAAACTCAAGCTTTTTAATGTACTCGTCGTAAGCCCTGCTCCCAACTTGGCTAGCAACTCGCACATACGCTAAACGCAACGAGTTGTCTAGTTACTCGCTACGGTTAAGGCTGTTGTATACTTACTCGCTAATCCCGATCCCAATTCGTTAAGACACATGCCGAAGGCAACGAGCTGACTCGTTACTCGCTGTTCGCTACTCGCTATGGTTGAGGTTCAGACACTCCTCTACACTCACTCACTTGCCCATCCTAATTCCTTTAATCCGAACGGTTGCTGATTTGGTAAATACACACAAACACACGCCTGGGGCAGCTAGTTATCGTTACTCGCTGCTCGGTACTTGGTACTCGCTATCGTAAAGTCTCATACCCTTGTTTACTCACTTGCCCAAGCATATCGCTTTAATATATATGGTTGCTTGCTTGGTAAATATACACGTTTGTTAGTCGCTGCTTGTTACTCGTTACTCGCTATGGCTGAGGCCCTGACTCTCTCATTCGCCCAACCAGATAATAGATACCTCCCTGTAAAACCCTCAGTATCATGTTTGGTTTACACACGCGCTTAGCGAGACCATTTCTCTCGTTACTCGCTACTCGTTGTTTCTTACTCGTTATGGTTGAGACCCTGCCTTTCTTACTCGCCCAACCATATAATAGATAACTCCCTGTAATCCCGTTAGTATCATGGTTGGTCTACACACGCGCATTCACTCGTAACTCGCTACTCGTTACTTCTTACTCGCTATGGTTAAGGCCCTGGCTCACTGCGATACTCGCCACTCGTAGCTCGTTAGGTTCCTTGGAGTAAATCCGCGTTCAGGGACCCTACTTCCTTTCTAATATGATCGTATTCCTTTAAACTAAGTTCCTAAAGGCAGCGAGCTCGCTCTCGTTACATGTTACTTGCAATGGTGCATTGTTGTCCTCGCTAACTAACCCGATTTCGATGTCAAAAGCATTTCCCAGACAGGCTTTGGTTATCCAACGCCACGCTCCTTATTATTTGTATAAAGCGAGCTCATGTAGATACTTGTTGGTTGTTTTTGGTTTTTTGGTTACCTCTAATTTTAAATGTGTAGAGTTTTGGCTGTTCTTTTGGTTTAAAGTTTGCGGCAATTAACAGAGGTTGTTTTTATTTTTCGTTTATCAACACTTTAACTAGATTATGTATGCGTTAAGTTGGCTGCGCCTCATGCTTAACACGAAATTAAGCTAGCTGTAAGTTGTATTCACATCTTGGCACGTTTCGTATTGCATTTGGTTAAAGTTTCTGCTAATGCTCTATAAATAAGTCTTTACTAACACTAACAAATATTTCCCACATATATGTACATATATATATATATATATATTTCTACTAAATGCGATTTCATTTAAAAACGTTTCTTGTTTTTCTCTACCCTTTTTTGTTTTCTCTCTTGTGTTTACTAATTTCTTTTGCAGATATTATTTAAAACTAATCACAGAATACTTTGAAATAATATCTATATAATATACAAACTATAACTATAATATCATATATATACATATATACATACATATATATGTTTATATATATATATATATATAACGAAATCCAAGTAAAATAACTTAACTGAAAGGCGGCAACAAGTGCAAAGCAACGTCTCTCTCTCTCTCGCGCTCGAACAGCCCACCTCTAACCAAAATCCTCTCTATGCACCGCTGCCGTTCGTTGACAACACTGGCAAATACTTTCGGTGTTGGTTAGCAACTGAAGCCTAACACAAAAGCAAACAAAACTAATCGACAATTCATATTAACTTCTAAGGTAACTAACCCCAATTGGAAAAACACACACATTTCTAATTTTTTTTTTTCACCTTAATTTGCACATTAACCAACACTGATTCAGATGCTGTACTAAATTAAATCGGTTTATCGTTAAGTCTATATTAATTCAACTAATTGAGCGTATGACTCCCCCCCCCCCCCCCTTCTCCCCCGCATTATTTCAGGCTCTACGGCCCTAGGCTTCTACACCCCCCTCAAGGCCTCGCCCATGGACAGCCTCTTCCAGCTGGGCGTCACGCGCTATGCCGCGCCCGACAGCAACGGTAGCCCAGCGGCGGCTGCCACAAACGGCGGCGGCAGCTACAACGGCAACGGCAGCCTGCTGGGCAGCGGCGAGGGACACAGCAAGGACGACGAGAGCGGCGCGGGGGGCGATGCCAAGGAGCTGGCGTCTGGGCCGGAGGATGTTGAGGACTATCTGACGGCCTCCGCGGCGGCGGCGGCGGCGGGCGGCATTGTGTACAGCGAGGGCGCCCAAAAGACCGATCTATTGTACTGAACGAACCAGTTCCGTTTCGAGCCGGAACCAGAACCAGATCCTGAAACGCGCTGAGTTTCGTTTAAATACGTATATATATATACATAGATATTATTTATAAGTTTGTAGGCCTAAAATGCGTTTGCGCAAAAAAAAAAAAGAAAAACATTTTTTTTTTATATATATATATATTAAAATATACATGCATATTATATATACATAATACTACTTTATATTATTGTAATGTATCTTTGGCACTGAGCAACCGTTTTTTTTTTCTTTTTTTTGGCAAGTGTATTTGTGTATTTGTATTCCGCGTTTTTTTTTTTTTTTTTTTATTGTAGTACGTCTATACCTATATATATTATATTTACATGTAACGATATATATTTACTTTCGATTGTGTGTACTTTAAAACCGAAACAAAACAAGAGAAAAACAAACAAAACAGAAAGAAACGAAATATTGTAAACACCGAGGTTGAGCCACGTATTTAACAACCACATCAAACCCCGTTGTGGAGTATTAATAAACCATAAGCATTAAGCGAAAAACAAAATGTTTTTTCCATAAACTTTGCCCAAAATAACTGCTTCAAACGTAGAAAACAAGAACGAAAAGATTGTAAACATTTGCCCAATACTAATAACGTCTATTTCATAATTTTTACAATTGTATTCAATTCAACAACAAAAAAACCAAAACAAAAGATAAACAAAAATATAAACCCATAAATATATACGTGTATGTCAAATAAACAAAATGAAAAACAAGTCCAAATTTAATTGAAAACTAAAATTTAAATTCTGCAACGGTTTTTGTGCTCTAGTGGCAACGCTGTGCGCGAGCTGCCACATCGTTGGCAACTATCGCACAGCTGGCTCGTAACTATCGCACGATAGCAGCGGGTTGCATGGCGTTTTGTTATCGGCATATCGGTGCATGTGCACTCGATATCGATAGCTGTTTTATTTGTGGTACTTGTAGATGTTTCGGTAGTATTGTGATTGTTGTGTCCAAAATACAGGGTTTTGTTTGCCTATTTAATATTGCTAAATCCGAACTGAGATAATTATGCCCGCAACGTTTCAACACTGCAGCAGCTGTTCGTGCGTCCGGTGTATGTGCAATGCAAACTCCCCTCGCCAACTGTATTACTTTTAACCTTAGTTGACATTGAAATGTACCCGCTAGAGGCGGAGACAGTGCGTCTGTCTGGCTGGCTAGCTAGCTGCCTGCTTGCCTGCCTGCACGCTGGTGTTGTGTTGTGTGTTGGGTGTTGTGTGCGCTAGAAAAGGAGAACAAACCTCGAATTGAAATCTGCAGCCGCAGCTGACCCTTGGACACGTGCATGCTGGGCAACGCGCCTCCAGCTTACCAAAATACAAAAAAAAAAAAGAATGCAAATGATAAGCAATAGCAACAGCAACAACGACAAACTCACCTGCGGCAACAAAAACACGCAAGCAAAGTAGCGATTGTGACGTCGACTGCAACAGCAGCTGTGGAGAGACGACGCTCGAGTTCGGTTTCGTCTGTTGGCCGTGTGTCCGTCCAGTGCTAGTAAATGTGCATTAAAACTGATCAAAACAAACAGTTAAGATATTGAGTGAGTGCAAGAGAGAGAGTGAGAGAGAGGGGGTGTCTGTCTGTGCGAGTGGGAGTGAGTGCATGTAATTAAGCATGTGAACGCATTTGTCGCCATTTATTGGGCCACGCGTTGTGTAATCATTCATAAGCGCAAAACTAAAAAAAAAAACTAAAAAAAAAAAAAGAAATGCTAATTCTATTTTATTTGATTTGATTTTTTGTTATTTTTTTGTTGTTGTTCTGTTTAAATCGATTTGTTGTAGCTGGCATTCGTTATTAATTAAATCAGCAGCCGCAGCGGCAGCCGTAACAACAGCTGAGTGTGAGCGAGCCAGCGAGTGGGAATGAGAGAGCAACAGCAGCAGCAGCAGCAGCCCACATTTGACTTATACAGCAACAACAATTGCTGCTACTGCTTCTTCTTATACAAAGTCAGCCACCAGCCAGAGCTGCAAAACACCGGCACAACAGCAGCGGCAGCAGAGGCAGCGGCAGCAGCAGCAGCAGAAGCAGCAGCGACGCCAACGTCAACGATTTGTTGGTAATTAAAAGCAAAAAGAGAACTGAACAACGCAGCAGCAGCAGCGATCGCAGCAGCGGTCGCAGCAGAGCACAGCCCCCCCTCAATCGCAGTCGGCCAGTTGTCGGCACATAACGGAACAGATTCAATTCGTGCACTGATCGCATCGCAACGCGTCGCGTCGTTTATAAAAATAGCAGCACGCCAAAAGAGCGACAGAGAGAGAGAGAGAGAGAGAGAGCGCGCGAGATTTAACGGTGTGGGGGGATTATTGTTGAATTGGATTCTGTCGCCAGACACAACTGCGGATTTGGATTACAATTAACAAGAATAAGAAGAAGAAGCAGAAGAAGAAGAACAACTAAAGTGCGCTGTTGCCGCTGCGCCGTCTGAGAACGTCGCCAAAATTTCACTCGATCTAATGGCCAAAGACGAGGAAGACGACCTGCTGCCCGACAAGGATGCGGCCAAGGGCTTCTATGCCAAATATGAACCCAAAGAAATATTGGGCAGGTAAGAAATAGCTGGCTTAATTAAGCTAAAAGCTTTAAAAGTCCATTTCTCATGCACACACATTGAAAAGGGACAGAAAGATTAGAAAGGTTAAGGCAAAAGAAAGCATCCCGACCTCAAAAAGTATAAACATAATCCAAATCCCGCCTTCGTCCCTCTGTCCTTTCTTCGATCTCGGGAACTACTCGAGCTGGAGTCTTGAAATTTGACTAACATATTCACCTAAAGCTACGCAGATCAGGCTTCTGAGTTTTTTTTCGATAACTCCTTTCATTTCCATAACTCCTTTCCTTTCGATAACTCCTTTCATTTCCATATTACCGATAACTCCTTTCATTTTCATATTATCGATAACTCCTTTTATTTCCATATTATCGATAACTCCTTTTATTTCCATATTATCGATAACTCCTTTTATTTCCATATTATCGATAACTCCTTTCATTTCCATATTATCGATAACTCCTTTTATTTATAACAATTATCTGACTATCAATTATGGAGTTAAACAAGAATAAGTTGTTTTTTGTTGCGAACTGTTTTTAAATCATCGATAACTTGCCCAGTCTCAATTATATCGTTATCGATATATTCTGTTTTCTTAGCATATATCGAAATTTTTAAGAGCTAGAGAACCCAAATTTTTGTATATAGTTTCTGTCATAGTCACAGATCCAAAATAGTTTAACTTTCCCCTGAAAATGAAGATCTTCAAAAAATCGATAACTTGCCCGATTTCCATTGAATTGTTATCGATTTGCTTTTCTTCACCAGATATCGAAGTTCTTGGGAGCTAAAGAACCCAAATCTTGCCTGCAATCTCTGGCATAGCCATAGATCCAAAATATTTCACTTTTATCTTCAAAATTTTATAAGTGCAATTCAAGATCATCAAATAATCGATAACTTGATCCATTTCCATGAAATCGATATCGAAATTCGGTTTAATCAAATGACAGCTTTTAAGAGCTGGAGGAATAAAATTTTCTATGCATAATCACAGATTCGTAATATTTCACACTCTAAATACGAAACCTAATAGAGAACTTATTTGAAAGTTTCCTCTGTGTTGCCTGAGAGTTGCATTTGATATTCAAAGATATTCCGAGTACTTGGATATATCTGTAGAAAAAGATTGTTGGGCTCTGCGTAGAGCATTCGCTGGTTCGGTCTGTGCCCGGAGCTATTTGTATTATTATATTTATTTATTTTGTTGCTGTTTTGTGCCGACTCCGCGCAATTGTAAACTTTGTTTATTTCAATTCATTTTCATATTTTATTTATTTGATTTTTTATATATCATTTTATTTCGTTTTTTATTTTTTTGCAACGAGTTGCCTAATTCTCGCGCCATGACTCAAAGCGTTGGCGTCTTCAATTGCCCAATGGGCAAATGCTGAGCTGAGACGTGTGAACTGTCGCGTAGTACCCGAAATTCATCAGAATTAAACGACGCAAGGCCCCTACCCCCGGGGGGGGGGGGGGGTAGAGGGTACAGGCAAGCGGTGTAAGCTGAGCTCGAGCCAGGGGGGGGGGGGAGGTCGAGGTCCGTTAAAAGCGAACTAGTTTCCGCTTAACCATATGGTAGAAGACCCTATGGAAGATAGCCCCCGGTAGAACCTATGGAGGATACCCCTCTGATGGATCCTATGGTAGTGACCCCTCTGCTAGACCCTGTGCAAGGTATCCCTTTGGTAGTCCCTGTGGAAGATATCCCTCTCCTGAATCCTATGGATAATATCCCTCTGCTGGATCCTATGGAAGATATCCCCCTCCTGAATCTTATGGAAGATAACCCCCTGGCAGATACTCCCCCTGCAAGACGCTACGGCAGATACTCCTCTGCTGGATCCTATGGCAAGACCCTCCTGCTAGCTCCTGTGGAAGATAACCCCCGGGCAGATACCCCTTTGCTAGACCCTATGGAAGATGCCCCTCCGCGCTAGACCCTGTGGAAGATAACGCCCTGGCAGATAACCCCCTGCTAGAGTTCGGATAATATTTGCTCAATGCAACCTTGAACTGAACTTGAGTGTCAAGAAATGCTGATCATGGAGCAGAGGTATCGTGTCATCGAGTTACGCCGTGTGCATCGCATCACTAGGCAAACAGCTCGTAAAGCTGTAACCAATGTAACCAACTTTTTAGGGCCCTAGACCTTATCGGGATTAGATAGCGCAAATCTTGAGCACACTCTGTCAAGCATTTGGACATGCCAAAACGGGCCAAATTCCTGACTCCAATCGGCTAGACTCGATTGTTGTTGTTGTTGGTTTAGCTTAAGTGGGAGATCGAATGTGTGTGCTTGGATAACTTGGATAACCTTGGGCCTGAAAACTGGATTTAGATCGGACTGCAAAGACCGAACGCATTGCATACTCCATAAGCCGCAGCAGCAGATCCTTCGTTTAACATTTCGCATTTGGTATTTGGTATTTGGCAGGGGCATCAGCTCGACGGTGCGACGCTGCATCGAGAAGGAGACGGGCAAGGAGTTTGCGGCGAAGATTATTGATCTGGGCGCCACAACGGAGGCGGGCGAAACGAATCCATATCACATGCTCGAAGCAACCAGACAGGAAATCTCAATCCTGCGCCAGGTGATGGGACATCCCTACATAAGTGAGACAAAAATAAAATAAATATATATATATATATATGCAATTTGTATTTATACTCCTCCATTCCGTTTCACAGTCGATTTGCAGGACGTGTTTGAGTCGGATGCATTTGTGTTCCTCGTATTCGAGCTGTGCCCCAAGGGCGAGCTCTTCGACTATCTGACATCGGTGGTGACGCTCTCCGAGAAGAAGACGCGCACCATAATGCGACAGATATTCGAGGGCGTCGAGTATATACACGCCAAGAACATTGTCCATCGCGACCTGAAGCCGGAGAACATACTGCTCGACGAGAATCACAATGTGAAGATCACAGACTTTGGCTTCGCCAAGCAGCTGCACGAGGGCGAGAAACTTACAGGTGATCGGATCGCAACTGTGAATGCATATCATAGAGTATATTATATATACTAACCTCCCTCCCTCTCAACCTTGCAGATCTGTGCGGCACGCCGGGCTACTTGGCCCCGGAGACGCTCAAGTGCAACATGTTCGAGGGCTCGCCGGGCTACTCGCAGGAGGTGGACATGTAGGAGAAGCAACCGTCTAAATCTTTTTTGCTATTATTAATAACCACTTGCCTTGTTTATCCACCTGCAGCTGGGCCTGCGGCGTTATTATGTTCACGCTCCTGGTCGGCTGTCCGCCCTTTTGGCATCGCAAGCAGATGGTGATGCTGCGCAACATCATGGAGGGCAAATATAGCTTCACCTCGCCCGAATGGGCCGATATTTCAGGCAAGAGTCGAGCACACACAATATATATATATATATATATACATATTTAATCGCATCAGATATTATTCTGACTGTCTTGCAGAGGATCCCAAAGATCTGATACGCAAATGTCTAGTCGTTGATCCTGCGCAACGTATCACCGTCAAGGAAGTATTAAGACATCCATTCTTCAATCAAATGGTAAGTGCCGGCGCCCTCGCCAGCTGCAGGACCCATCCGCCAGACCCTAGGCATTACTATAGTGTATACATATATATTCTAGTCCGTATGTTTATCCATATCGTCTAGTTGCCAGGCCCTGGTTCCGGTTCCGGTTCCGGATCCGGTTACAGATTCAGATTCAGATGCAGGTCTCTTAAGCGCACACACCTTAAACACCATAGCTATATACTTGCTATACATATATCTATATATAGTCTTAAGTTCCCGCACATTCAGCACGGCATATCTCATAGTTATCTAAAGATAAATCTAACCCCCCCCCCCCCCCCCACCCCCTTGCCTTTATGTGGTGTCCAGGTTTTTCGGTTTCAAGCTAAACTTGGCTTAATGGCAGTGTTGCCAAAGGCAGCTATTTTCTAGCTAAATTTTGCCTATTTTCAGCTAGCACAAATTGTTAAAATTCCCAACTGGTTTCAGTTTATTTTTTCTTTCAAATTGTTGGCAACACTGCTCGGACAAATGTCTCTAATCCCCCCCCCCGTCCCCCCTCGCCGTTAAACTCTGAAATACACAACTGTGACTCACAATTTCCACAAGCCTTTATTAACTGCTTTATTTTTGTATAATCTATAATACACATATATATATAAAATAATATAATCCGCCTTGAAGCGTTGACGAGTTGAACTCGTATTGCATCTGGAAAGCTGCGCACAAGTACAGTGAGCACTCGATAAGAAGAACGTTTCATTATATTCTTTTAAGTGCAAGCTTAAATATTTCCATTCTAAAATTGAATTCTCTATATAGACTTGCATAAAATATGTCTGACATTCCCACTACTCGAGCGTTCACTGTATTTCAATTTCCCGTTTAAGTTCTAGAAACCAGCTGCTAATTCCACTTCGCTTTTTAGTTACTTGATATAAATATTTATTTAAATCTCCTATGTTTTGCCTTAAGTTAAGCCAACTTAAACCCATTTATATATATATATCTATTTCTTTTTTTTGTTTTCTTTTTTTTTTTGTTAATTTCTTATGTTTTAAACTTTATTATATATACGTACATTTTTCTCTTTTTCTTACATATAAACAATATAATACAAAAAAAAAACCATATATACGTTTATTTTACCAAAATCGAAACACACGAATACGAATTGAAATGTTTTTGCCCAAATGTATTTTCGAACACTCAAAAAATCGAAAAAATATCGAAAAAAAAAAAAACGAAAAAAAGCTGTTCGAGCAAAACATTGATGGCCTCAAGCGCAGCCTGTCGACCAAGTCCAGAAGAATGAGTCGCATCACTGAAATCGCACTGGTAACGAATTATTTCCGGACTAACCCCCAATTACTTATAAACAACTACAACAGCAGCCAAATTCAAATACAATTACAAATAATAATAATAATGATAATAATTGAAAAGAAAAGAAACAGTCACATTATATTGTTGCATTTTGTGTTATATATATTTGCATTGTGTTTCGATTCGATTCGCTTCGATTCGATTCGATCAATTAACACCGAAATGTTTTGTATGTGTTTATCGACTAGTTATCCAGTTATCGTAATCGTGCTCGTTATCGTTTTTGAATGCGTGCCATCTATGCCGGCATTTAATCCATTTACATAACCTTAAAGTTACACATTTTACGCATTTTAAGTATGTATGTATGTTAATTAATTCTCTTAATTGCTTTAAACATACAATTTATTTGCTTGTCTCAATATCAATATCTATATGTATTCGTTGTCCTTGTCCCGTTGCGTGTGCGATTGCGATTGCGATTGCGATTGTTTTCTTTTCTACATTTATCGATAAGCGATAACGATAACATTAACAACAACAACAACAACAGCGCAGCAACAGCTTGAAGCGAAAGCCAACGGCAACCCACCCCACCCCACCATGTGCATGCATGCCAACTCTGTCTAGCATCTGGCGTTAACATCTACACGAAACTCACCACGACTGTATATGTGCTGTATACTCTTATACTGCCTGCATGTGTGCGTGTGTCTCTCTCTCTCTCTTCTATTAGCTTAAGTGAGGAGAATACCAAAACAAACAAAAAAAAAGAAGAAAAAGAAAGGTGCATATAAAGAGAAAGTTAGGCGCGGTTTTCAGAAGTAAAAGAATTCCACAAAATATGTTTAAGTTAAGTCTAATTAATAGGCATATAGAGTACATATACATACATATACATATATAGAGATACTTTTAGTTTTATGTTTATTGTGTGGTTTTGTTCATTTGATATAACCCTAACATTTATACAATTTTGATTCTTCATTTTCTTTGCGTTTTTTGTTTTTTTTTTGCCCACCCAACATATATACGCGCTGCCTGCACTTTGCCTCAATTTCTCTCAAATCAAACAAATCCAAAATGTGATAATTAGGTTCTAATGAACGATGCAACATATATGCAGCAACTGCATTCAAATACCAGACAATACCTCAATTATCCAGGCAACGTTGCGGGCACTGGTATCGGTATCGGTATCGGTATCGGTTCAGGTATCGGTATCGGTAACGGCCCAAGCTCTAGCCACAATCAGGCAGCCTTTCGCTATAACCAGCTGAACAGTGGCAACGCTGGCAGCAGCTCCTCCTCCTACATATACTGCAGTGCGCCGCAGAGCTCGTATTCATCGAATCGCCTGCGCGACGTCGCCGCCGCCAGCAGCAGCAGCAGCAGCAGTTACATTGCCCCGGATCCGGACAAACAAAAGCTGCAGCTGCAGCTGCAGCAGCAGCAGCAGCAGGAGGCAGCGGGGGGTGGTGGTAATGTGACAACAGGAACCACAGCAACAACGTCCAATTCCACCTGCAACACAGCCTCCTCGATGACCTTGACGGCCACCGTCTACTATCAACAGCAGCAGCAGCAGTTACAGTTCCAGCAGCAGCAGCAGCAGCAGCAGCAACAGCAGCAGCGCCAGCGACCGCAGGCGGGAACAGTTATCAAGGCGCGGCAACAGTTGGGCATCGATAACGATAACGATAATTATGAGAGTGCGGCAAATGCAAATGCAAAACATTTATTGTATTCATCAGTGCAGGCAGGTTTTTCCTTTGTTTTGTTTTATGTTAACGTATCAATTTAGTTCTACACCGCATTCTTTATGCTCTATCAACGAAACGCGCTTTTTAGTTGACTTTGACTAGTGCCATCATCCAATAAGAATCCCAACACTCACCGCCAAGTTTCAGGCATCACTCACACACACACACACACACGCACACTTACCTTTGGCAGCGGCGCCAACACACACACACACACACACACACACTCAATGCTCATCGCTTACATTTCAATTCCACTCGTTCCTTTAATTTCACTTAAGCACAGTAAAATTTAGCAGGACATACTCACCACTCACACACACACTCTTTGCTCTCTCTCTCTCTCTCTCTCTTACTCATTAATTTCTGCAACCTTGGCTCTCTTTGATACTCTATTTGCCAGCCTGGTACATGGAACACTTGTTTAGTTTGTAACACTTATGATTAATTTTATAATATTTATAAACTATTTAGTCGTATTTGAATTATAAAAACTGTATTATATGCACCTTTATAGTATGTAGTATATATATATATATATACATATCTTTGGGTTAACTGGATGTAGTCAAATTATCGCAAAAAAAAAAAAGAAAAAAGTGTAAAGAATAAGAACGCTTTGGCCGTTTAATTTGTCTGGTATTCTCGTATAAATATGTTGTGTATCGCTAATCATAATGCTGTTGTAGTTTGCGCTTTCTGTCTCTCTCGCTCTCACAATCTCACCTTCTCTTTGGCTTTGCATGCATCTTATTTTCTGTTCTAACTGTTAAGTACACCTCTGAGCATATGCATACATACACCACATATTCACATAGATAATATATGAACAAGAACAACAAATTATAAAAAAAAAAAAAAAAAACAACAACAACAACAATTACGCTTACCGATTCACTGACGATGTTTTTTGTTTTGTTCTTAATTTCTCCTCTGTATGATTTGATATACACGTTTTGTTTTGTGTGTCATGTACTCTATATTGTCAGAGTCTCAACGCCCTTATAAGATGTGTGTCTATAAGTCGGTGTTGTGGAGACTCCCTTGTGAGTAAACCAAAAAGTCAAACTGCCAACAACAAAAAAAAATCCAATTTATAAACAATTAGTTACCTTACAGTATATACATACATATACATATATAATTTGCCATATCCAATATATATGTATGTCTATAATTATGTACATATATCTATATATTTGTGTGTGTGTTGTCCTTGAGCGCGTTCCGCATGCGCTCTCTTTCTCACTCGCCTCACTGAATTAACAGTTACGCCTACTACCCACACCACACTTTTGAGTTCTTTGAATCCCGTTATTTGTTGATTTGCTTCTGCTTTTGCTTCTCACACACGAATACACCACAAACATTCGCACGCACACCGTGAGAGACACCGTGGTGAATTATGTATCCCCCACTCTCTCTCTCTCTCTCTCTCTCTCTCTCTCATAGTCGCATTAACATGGGTATGTTAAATGCACCGCATTAACAGCACGCAACTAACAGCTTAGTCTAACTTAATACAAATGCATCGACTAAGCCGACAGTCTGTCTCTCTCTCTCTCACTCACACACACGCACACACCCATCCACCCACACACACACACTCACACTATTGTAGCGCAAGCTGTGTTCGCGTAAAGTCTTTTAACCTTGCAAACCAAAACAAAAAACACACTCACCGAATTGTTGCATCGAAAAGCTGCTAACGTTAATCATATTAATCCAAGGCGTATGAACTAAAATTAAAAAAAAAAAAAATAAATTAATAAAAAATCCTAACAACAAAATTTGAATTACTTAACCCATAACTAATTGAGCCCCATCCTCTGTGTGGTTTTTATTTTTATTTTGTTTGTACATGTAGCTGCGGAAACAGAGTCGCTTCAATGCGCGCAAAAAGTTCCAATTTGCCATATTAGTGATACGCGCTGTCATTAGGATACGCCGCCTGCGCTACACGGCCGAGCCGCTGCATGTCGAGGATGCCATACGCGATCCGTATCGCGTCAAGGTGCTGCGCAAGGTAAATACACGAATACACACACGCGCGTTACAACACTGCCCAACAATTAACCGTTTTTTTATCCACCTTGACAGGTTATCGATGGCTGCGCCTTCCGCGTCTACGGCCATTGGGTGAAGAAGGGCGAGGGCCAGAATCGTGCCGCCCTGTTCGAGAATACTCCGCGCACCGAGCTCCATGCGCTCTACATAAACAATCTCAGTCGATAGGAGACGGCCAGCCCACGCACACACTAACGCAACAGTTACTAAAAGAAAAAAAAACTACTAAAAAATATAATAATAATAATTAGAAACAAAAAAAAAACAAAACAAAACAAAACAAGAAAGAGACACCAAAACAACGTGCAGCACTTATCAAAAGTAAACGGTTTCCTTTATTTTCTTCCGATTCATTTTGTTCTGTTTATGCGCGGGCAATCCGCATTGTCACACACAGATTACGTATGCATACATACATACATACGTGCGAGGTGTATAAGAGTTCAACGAACTGTGTTGCATAACATAAAAACTACGCCAACTATGCGTACGTATATAGTAAAGAAGAACAACACACACACGCATACACACACACACACACACGTAGTGTAACAGCAAAGGCCTTTTGCCCAATGCCCACAGCAACAACAAACAAACATACATACATACATGCATACATGCATACAAACATACAAACATACATAGATGCATATGTATTTTCTGTTAATGATTTTATTAAATTATTTAATTGTATTGCTAAGCGTTTACATTTTAATTGTTATGTTGTAGTATACAAAATAAATAAAAACGAAAAAAAAACCAAACAAACATATGTAAAAAGGAAACAAAAAATATGCACAAAGCAGCGCGCTCAACGATAACATTTAAATCTGCTTGTTGCAGTCGTAGGTGCGCTCACAGCACTCGGGGAAGCTGCGATTAGTGTTGACAAAGTCGCGCAGCTTGCAGCCCTTGCGTGGCGCCACAGCGGTGCATGTGCGAAACTCGACATGTCCGTTATCCAGGCATGTGACGCCGGCGCAGAGATGATTCGGCGCCTTGCCCGTCTGACCGGGCGACATTATCGAGTTGGAGTCCAGCACGCACTTGCCCGGGTAAGCTAAGCAAATAAACAAAATTGAATATGTAAATATATGTGTATGTATATACATATGTCTGCCATAGAAATTCCAGTCAATTCCAATTGGACATATACTTACTGGGATTGCTGAAGTCGGCGCGCGCAATGGCCGCCTGCGCGCTGTGGCTGGCCAGCACAAGGACAAAAGCGCAGGCGAGCAGAGCGACAAAATTGAACTGCGACGACATCTTGTTGGAATGTGGAATGGGAAATTGGGAATTGGAAACACGCTGTTGCTGATTGGGCTGTAAGTCCGCAAGTGATGCTGATTGGGATGCGGCGGCAATGTTTTATACAGAATCCGTGTGCGTGTTATCAAAAAAGCCGAAGCTTATCGAACGGCGCCAGCTGAGACTGAGCTGCGGCAGCGGCAGCGGCTGAGCCAACTTGACCTTGTCCAATGCATGGCTGGCGCATATACCGCTCCTGCTCGCGCCCATTGCCATACGGCCCGGTTTAACGGCAGCTGCCTGTTTGGCCGCTTTTTGTTGCTGCTTGCGGCGACTTCCCTGCGGTTCATTGAGTACTTAATTACATTACGCATATAAATAATTTTCTGATGTGCTTCAATTTATACACATACATGCATACATATATTTATATGTACATATATATGCTTGCAGGTATGTACATATTTTTATTTTGCTCGTTTTTTGTTTACGCGCCGCCGCTTATCACGTTTTTCATTTCGCAGTCGCCGTCAATTGGCGCCTGTTTTGGTTTTTTGTCATTTTTAATTATATTTTTGGGAATTTTCGTATATTATTCTTGTTTATAATTTGTGACATTCCTACCAGTAAATGCGTCTGAGTCAGCAGCGCTTCGCACGCAAATCATCTGCCGGCTCGGATTTTGAACCTGCGTCCGAATATCATTCGATAAAAACTTGCAATTGTGTGTGTGTGTGTGTGTGTATCGCCGGGTCAGTGTTATCGATAGCCGGCCATTGACATTGTCAGCACGGCCGCCATTTTGTACCAAAAACTAATACAAAATGTACCAAATTCTTATAAAAAAAAAAAAAGTACCTCTGTTAAGTTTGCTTAAGAGCAACGGGTTTTAAATGAAAGTTATTCCAGTTTACATTTGTTGAACCTAAAAAGCACCTAAATTCGCACATATTTACAGAAATTATTATTAAAATTTATTGCAAATATATATAAAATAATTTTAGCAACAAATTAGAACGTTGAACACGTTGTAATTGCCGATTAAATCAGTCGAAAGGCGACTGCTCGTTTTGTCTCGGCGAGTGACTCCAAAACTGTAACGGTGACTTTCAAACTGTGACTTAAAGGAATATCCATGACAGTTTTAAGGGGCGAAGATTGGATCATGGCTTGATCTTGGTAGGATCAGAGCTGCCAAACTTGTCATAACTTTAATAGGAAAATGGTACATTGCATTAGGAAAGTACCAATTGTGGTACATTTGGTACATTTTCGTTTTACGGGACGAAGATTGGATCATGGCTTGATCTTGGTAAGATCAGAACTGTCAAACTTGTCAATACTTTAATAGGAAAATGGTACATTGCATTAGGAAAGTACCAATTGTGGTACATTTCGTACATTTTCGTTTTAAGGGACTAAGCGTGAATCATGGCTTGATCTTGGTAGGATCAGAACTGCCGAACTTGTCATAACTTTAAAAGGAAAATGGTACGTTGCATTAGGAAAGTACCAATTGTGGTACATTTGGTACATTTTCGTTTTAAGGGGCGAAGATTGGATCATGGCTTGATCTTGGGTGGATCAGAACTGTCAAACTTGTCAATCTGTTGTTTGTCCGCCCCCCAATAGGCGTGGCTCCCATAAAAGTACCCCTTTAATACGAAAATGGTACATTGCATTAAGAAAGTACCAATTGTGGTACATTTGGTGCACTTGGTACATTTTCGTTGGCCAAATGAATGCGACACAGTTGAAAATTAAAACTTTACTAATTTTATTTCTCATACATTTGTGTTTCGTCTATGTTACAGGGGATAAACTATATTGCGCGTATTCGAGCCCTACAGGCATGCTTAAACCGACTATATATACGTATATGCCTATATATATATATATATATATATATATATATATATAATAATAAATATACGCTATATAGAGACGTATATGTATTTCTATATGTATATTCTTTATGTTGTCAACATTTAATTAATTTCTGCGGCTTACGTCAAATGCATAGAATTAGTGCAACAATTTGGAATCGCTTTTGCCATTTGTCCACATTCCAGAAACGAGATTCGAGTCGGAGTTTTTGTTCGGCAATTTCAATTTTGTTACGAGTTACGAGAACTTTGGTTGCACACACCCAACATCTGGATTTGAGATTCAGAGAGAGAGGCGCACAACTGGAAGCGGGCCTAGACGCCCGCGTAGACGGGCAGCTTGGCCGTTTCGACCTTGTCGACCACCTTGAAGGAGGGGAAGAGTCCGCCCTGATTGGTGCGCGTATTCTTGCCCTTGGAATTGCCATCCCAATGGTTGCCCGCAACCGAGACAAGATCCCCAACTTTCAGCTGCAGATCCTCGTGGGTGCGCGGCTTGTGCGCGATAATCGCGCGACGATTGTGCGGATTCTGGCCGCCATAATAGTAGATGTCGTCGAGGGATTTGAAGCGATATGCCGCATCCGGATACATGGTCTGCATTATCTCGTAGGCGACGCGACAGACCTGCGAGGAGAACGTGCACACCAGATAGTCGGACATGGACAACAGATGGATGTCCAATATGATGCCGTTCAGGGCCGTGTCCGTGTAACGCGTGGAGACGGCGGCCATGCGCGCCACCTCCGGATCGCCGACGATCTGGTACTGGGGATAGCTTTTGCGCGCCTCCTCAATGACGCGCGCATCGTCCGAGGCGAGAAAGATGCGACGGACGACGCTGCTGCCATTGATCTCCAGCGTCCGATAATAGTCCTCCACGTGCGTCATATACTCCTCGATGCCGTGGAAGGCAGCCTCCGTGCCCACCTTGTCCGTGCGACGCACATGGACGCTGGAAACGGAAACGGAAATGGAAATGGAAATGGAGCGCATTAGTTGTCGAACTTGGCCGTGGCTAGCGATGCAGCTTACCCCACAATGGGACGCTCCCAGCCGAGCTTGCGCATGCCCGAGTTGAGGAAGTCGCGCGTCGCCGTCTGCGGACGCAGCAAATATTTGAGGAACTGGCCGACCCACCAGACAATCGGATCGCCGTGCAGGCGCTTCAGACGCGGCGCCAGATCCTCGGGCACGGCCAGCGGCAGGTACGGCGGACGCGGCATCAGCGAGTCAATGATGGGCAGCACCAGCACCTGGGTGTTCGCCTTGCCGGGCCAATTGTACGCATACGAGCTGCCCGCATCGTGGCAGCTGTCCGACACCGGACGGAACACCTCCTCCCAGCCGCCCTTGTGGTAGCGCCAGCCCCGCGACTTCAGTATCAGCGTCCGTTCCGTGGCGTACGCCACGATGAAGCAGTAGACCACGTGATGCAGCTGGCAGCCGTAGCCACAGCCCTGCAAGAAGCACACTCACAAAATGAATACACAATCGCATGGAAATTAACTTGGAAAGGCTTTAAAGGAGTCAGTGCAACGTTTACGAATGCAACAGAAAAGAGAGATGGACGAAAAACAGTAGCTTATCGTGCAGAGAATGGAAAATGGAATGGAAGAATTGAAGGTAAAACAAATATAGAGCATAAATATACTACAAAAGGTTTTACTATAACGTTTACGAATGCAACAGCAAAGAGAGAATGAAGAATAACAAAAGTTACCTCTGCAGAGAATGGAAAATGGAATGGCAGAATTGAAGGTAAAACAAATATAGAGCATAAATATACTACAAAAGGTTTTACTATAACGTTTACGAATGCAACAGCAAAGAGAGAATGAAGAATAACAAAAGTTACCTCTGCAGAGAATGGAAAATGGAATGGCAGAATTGAAGGTAAAACAAATATAGAGCATAAATATACTACAAAAGGTTTTACTATAACGTTTACGAATGCAACAGCAAAGAGAGAATGAAGAATAACAAAAGTTACCTCTGCAGAGAATGGAAAATGGAATGGCAGAATTGAAGGTAAAACAAATATAGATCACAAATATATTAAAGAAGGTTCCATTGCAACGTTTACGAATGCAACAGAAAAGAGAGAATGGAGAACAAAAAACGTTACCCCTGGGAAAAGTAAATATGGATCATAAATATAAAACAAAAGCTTTGATTGGAAGAAGAAATGACAAGAAGCTTGCACTGCAACGTTTACGAATGCAACAGCAAAGAGAATGACGAAAAAGAGAAGCTAACTCTGCAGAGAACGGAAATGGAAGGAAGGAAATATAGAAATGGAGATTGAGATTTAAATGCGAGCAGAATATTAACACAGAACTGCTTTGGAAAACAAAGGAGCATGAAACGATAAAAGGAAAGAGAGAGCATGCGAAAAGTACATGGAAAATGAAAATGAAAGAGACCACACGAAGAAAAACAAATTGAAATGAGAGGGCATGCCTATGACAGAATATTAAAAGTTAAAATAAAATGAATGAGAATGAAATATAAGAAAATAAAGAAAGAGCATCTTCTCAGGAGAATGAAAAAGCGGCCAGTGCAACGTTTGCGAATGGGCATAAGAAAGAAGAATGAGAGGAAAAGAAGAGAGGATACAAGGAAAAATAAATAACATAAAGTTTCACAGGCAAAATAAAAAGATGAGAACAAAATGAAAGAGCAGGCGAGGAGAAGAAAGAAGAATATGCAAAGACAAAAGGAAAGGCGAGAATATCCAAAAACAAAGTGAAAGAGCTTGTGGAAGGGAAAATAGATTTCCCTGAAGCGGAAATACAGGATGAAAAAGAAAGAAAGATGAACAAAGAAAATGCAAGCTCTTGCTATTAAGAGAGCAGAAGACAGAACGTTAGCGAATGGACTAGAAAGAAGAATGGCAGACAAAAGTGAGTGAAGGAGCGTGAGTGAGAGAGTGAGAGTGAGGCTGAGAGTGAGAGTGAGAGAGTGAGTGAGAGGCGGAGAGCATGCTGGAATGGATGGTTGGCATTGTATATAGGGCTGGATTGGACCTTGTTCAGCTTGCAGACAAGCTTGCGGGCATTGGAGCAATCGCTGGGATTCTGTAGATGATGCAGTCGCCGCTGGACAAGATCGCTCAGCTCTTTGGCCTCCCGCTGGCGCCACGGCTCGTAGCCATCGACGCGCCGCAGCTGATCCATGTCGCTGAGCAGCGAACGCTTGTGCTCGGCGCCCTGCAGCAGCACCTGCTGTATGGACTCCTCCAGCTCGGCATTGCCGCTGCCCACTATTTTGCGTATTTTGCCCAGCTCGCTGCTGAAGTAGCTCCAGATCTCGGCAATGTTCGTTTGGATGCGCCGACGCGTCAGCTCATACTCCAAACTGGGCTCAATGCCCGCCTGCCCGGCCAGCCGATCCGGCCCATCCGCATCCGGATCCGCATCCGCGGCGACCACCTCGAACAGCGTATCCTCTGGGAGATTGTCGCCCAGCGTGTGCTTCGCATTGTGCGAGTCGTTCTCCAGCCTTTGCATTAGCTTCATGGCGCTCTGTTTATCCAGCTGCTCGCTGCAAAAATTACACAAGATAACAACTGACACACACACGCACACACACACACACACACACGCACACACACACGCACACACACACATTGTGGTTGTGCGTGGTGATTCGTGATTCGTAATTCGTCAGGCGGCGACGTGTCGAGCGTGACCGCGCATCATTTGCATACCCTAGCAGAGGGTGGAGCCACAAACTCATCCGTTTTGTCACATATGTATGAGGGAAGACATTTGGGCCAGTTTTTTTATATATATATTCCTGATCAGCATGAATAGCTTTAACTGACTGGCCAACTGTCTGTCTGTCTGTCTGTTAAGCTGTCTGTTAAGCTATCTGTTAATCTGTCTGTTAATCTGTATGTTAACCTGTATGTTAAACTAAATGTTAAGCTGTCTGTCTGTCTATCGATATATCTATCCATCTAGCTATCTATCTATCTGACTGTCTGTCTGTCTGTTAATCTGTCTGTTTATCGATCTATCCATCTATCTTTCCATCTAACTATCCATCTATCTATCTATCTAACTATCTGCTTGTTTATCTGCCTGTCTGTCTATCTATCTATCCATCTGTCTGTCTGTCTGTTAATCTGTATGTTAATCTGTATGTTAAACTATATGTTAAGCTGTCTGTCTGTCTATCGATATATATATCCATCTATCTATCTGTCTGTCTGTCTGTCTGTCTGTCTGTCTGTCTGTCTGTCTATCTATCTATCTATCTATCTATCTATCTATCTATCTATCTATCTATCTATCTATCTATCTATCTATCCATCTGTCTGTCTGTCTGTTAATCTGTCTGTCTGTCTGTCTATTGATCTATCTATCTATCTGCTTGTTTATCTGCCTGTCTGTCTCTTTGCATATCAATTAGCGCTTCAGTTTTGCAGCTATCAAAGATCGTTTTACTATATATATCTACTATATCTATTATCTACAGCTATGTCTATACTATAACATATAGCCCATAAGTACGATCGCTTGATTATCGATATTAAACCCGACAATTGGGCGCCTTAATGTGGCTTAGATCATGTCAATATACGTTAGCTAAGCTATATAACTTGATATAGGAAAGATCGCTTAGTAGATCGAATAGTTAGCTAATCCCATATCCCATAGGAACAATCCTATATAAGGAAAGCGTGATCTATAAACTATATCAAATAGCTCGCATAGTAAAGAAAACTTGTTAAGCTAATCAAAAGTAGCTCACATAACTTGTTTCTATATACATCTATATATCTCTATATATATCTCTATATATCACACATAAACATCTCTGTTAGGGTATACAAGCTTCGGCGAGCCGAAGTCCATTTTCTCTTGCCTTATTTTGCATATGAATGAACGCATTAATGGAGCAAATTTTGCTGGGGATTAGGCGGGAATCGAGGGAGACAGATAGGGGGGGGGGGGGGGGTGTTGGATTGGGGTTACGGCTTAGGGTCTACTTGTGGCTGATGATGATGATGATGATGTGGCACCTGGTGGCAACATACCTCATCAGCTCATCGATGAGCAGCTTGAGCTCCTCGTTGCGCCGTTCCGTGTGCTCGAGCAGCTGCAGCGCCTGGTTGATGCGTCGGGAATTGTGCTCATTGTCGCCGCCGCTGCCGCCGCCGGCGCCGGTATGGGCGAGCGCCTGATGGTTTTGGCCATGGCTCTGGCTGTTGGTCAGCTTGAGGACGAACACGTAGACGAGCACCGCCCAGGCGAGCACGAATATGATTAGGGCGCGCACCCACGAATTCGAGGAGGAGCCGAACAGCTGACGCACTAGCAGCATGGCTAGTGCCGCAATTAATCGTATCCGCTACTCTGTGATCCGTTTGTCCTTCTCGTCGCGTCCTTCCCTTTGTTTACGTGTGTGTGTGTGTGCTGTGTGTGTGTGTGTGTGTGCGTGCGTTGCTAGTTAATGTTGTGTTGGGAGCGTGTGTTTCTGCCGTTTTTGTCGCATAGTCACCGAGTGTTTAGCTTCGGTTTTGACTGTTGCTAAACATTGCGCGGCACTTCATAGCTGGAACAGCGCAACGGCACTCGAATGACACAGTTTTTATTTGATTTTTATTCTTTTTTGTTTTAATAAATAAATAACAAAATACCAAATTAGGGATGTTGCTGGCGTATCGATAAATGCCCATATTCTCAAACGATATTTCGTGCACAGCACATAAATACTATCGATATAAATACAGTACTTTTCGTTGCATACGCCAGGGATGCGCATATTCGATAATTGCAGCTTCTTGCGTTTGTATGCTTGTTAATTATTGCAGAATGTTAATTACTTTCAATTGTGCAGCTATTCAAGCCTAGTTGCTTTAACTAAGCAGTACAAACATATATCTAAATCGCAGACCAACCACCTCCGATAAGTCGCTTACTGGTGGCGGCTGGTCGATAACAATCGTTAACGCGCCTGTGTGAAATATTTAAAACCGTTTGCAATTGACAATTTTAAGAACGAAATTCAGAAATTCAGAAATTCATTCGACAGGTACTTGAAGGTTTCATTGGTTTGCATCCGGCTGGGTTGTACTCTTAATATTTTCACAATTTATTTGGACTTATGCTATATCAATTAAAAATGTTTATAATGTTGAGATGATGTTCTAGCAACTGCTTCGCTTTCGATTCCAATTGAAAGCAGCAGGCGCTAAAAAAAAATTATCGTATTAGGCTACTTCCCCACAGACAAAAGTAGATCGATGCCAAATGAATGCGTATGCAAATTAAATTTAGTTGTTAAATCAAATGAAAAATTATTATCGTATAAATTATAAAAAATTCAGTATTATATATAGTATTTAAAAAAAAAAAAGTTGTACACATAAATTATAAATTATATTATACGAATACGACCACAAAAATTTCGCATTGTTCAAATGAGTTTTTGTATTTTTTTCTTGTTTTTGTTTTTGCTCAGTCGACGTCGACGGCGGCGTCGTCTGCCTGCATGTGGGATGTATGTGTGGTGAATTTTAGTGAGCTTGTGTGTGGGTGAGAGAGAGAGAGAGAGAGAGAGAGAAAGAGAAAAAGGTGCGCGTGTGTATGTGATGGAAGCGGCGATCTACCGGAGGACGATTGTGTTGAGTTTATGCGACAAGTTTTTGATTTATTGTTAATTTTAAATACTTATATAAATTACTTTTATTATAATTATTGTTTTTTTCATCCGTTTCTTGTATGTAGTGGGCAACTGCGGCATTTGTAAATTTTCATCATTTGTTACTCATTTCATTTGACTGTGTAAAAATATCAATTTGTTTCTGATTCAATAGTTACTATGTATTTTGTATTTTGTTTTTTTTTCTTTCTTGTTCTTTTCACATATCATTTATGTTATCGCTGCTGCAATTGGGGACTCCGTATGGCTATTTCTCTTTATATCATTTATCAATTGTCGTCATCTTTCAATTCAACCTTCTCCTCGCTTTAATCCTCAATTTCAACTTAAACTTCATCTAATTCGCGCCCGCACTATGTTCCTAAGTAATGTCTGAGTGTGTGTGTGTGGTGTGTGTGTGTGGTGTGTGTGTGTGTGTGGTGTGTGTGTGTGTGTGGTGTGTGTGTGTGTGGTGTGTGTGTGTGGTGTGTTAGTGAAATGTATCTCTTTTATGGGTTCTCCTTTTTCTTGTTTTTTTTTGTTGTTTTTTTTTCTTTTGCTGTTAAGCCTATGTTATGTTATGTGCTGCTGCTGCTGTGCTGCTTCTCGTTCTCCTTCTATGTTATGTTCTCGTTGTGTATGTGTGTTTTTGTGTGTGTGTGAGTGTGTGTGTGTGTGTGTGTGTGTGTGTGTGTGTGTGTGTGTGTGTGTGTGTGTGTGTGTGTGTGTGTGTGTTTGTGTGCTGCTCTTCTTGTTATGTGTTTCTCTTTATGCTTTCTTTGTTGTATATATATATTATATATTATATGTATAATTAGTTTTGCTTAATAGTAAAATTTCTTGAATGTTGTTGTGGCAAAGTGTAGGTAATGTTGCTCTCAAATGTCGGACTCAACTGCACTACATACATATGTCTTTCCACCAGATACGCAGATACGCGTGCGGCCTAACGGTGCTGCTCAGTCGCTGCGCAGTTTCTTCAGCTCTGGCGATTTGTCGCCTGCAGCAGCAGCAGCAGCGCCAGCAGATGCATTATTCCCCTCCAACTCACAGTGCAGCGCGGTGCGCTTCTGTCCAATAGATGGCGCTGTCAGCGCTTTCGCTTCTGTCGTCGCCGCAGCAGCGGCAGCTGCCAAATGCTGCAGTTTGCTGGCACGCAAATTGCTGCCGCTGCTGTTGCTCTCATCAGCCTCTAGCTCATCATCGTCCTCAACATCATCATCATCATCATCCTCCTCCTCATCCTCCTCCTCATCGTCATCATCATCAACATCAGCCGCTGCCGCTGCCGCCGCACCGCCCAGCGCAAGAACTCCGTTTCCATTCCCATTCCCATTGGCTGCGGCGGCGGCGACGGCAGCAGTTGGAACTGCAGCTGCAGCCGCTGCAGCTGCCGCTGGCTGCGCAACGCTTTGTCCATTATTGTTGATCTGCTTGGTGTTGTTGTGCGACGGGGCAACAGCTGCTGCTCCTTCTGCTCCTCCTGCTGCTGCTCCTGCTGCTGCTGGTCCAGCTGCCGCCAGGCGACTTTTGAGCGGCGCCTCGAGATTACTTTCCGAATCGGAGGCGAGCGGCGTAGCCACGCCCATCGGCCCATCACCATCCTCCGTGGATGTGGTGGCCGTGGTCTGCGTGGTGTTGTCATCAATGTTCGGCTCCTGTGAGGTGGAATCGTTCGACACAAAGTTCGAATCGCCGTCCTGCAAGGCGGCGGCAGTGTTGTTGTTGTTACTGTTGTTGTTGTTGTTGCTGCTGCTGCTGTTGTTGTTGTTCTTGGCAACGCCGGAGTTGCCCAGCGGCGTCAGGGCCAACGGATTGGTGTTCTCGTTCTCCGTTTCCGACTCTGTTGCAGTGTTGCGACCGCCGCCTGTCCGAATAGAAGAGATCCATCAATAAGGGTCATAACTTTACCTTCGGGGCTGGTCGAAGTCTCCATACCCTTCCAGGCAACATGTGTAGCATAGTCTTGATCTCTATATTTAAAGCTGTTTTCCCAGACTGATTGATTGACTGAATGAATGATTGATGATCAACGCAAACTCTTAACCGCAAGAGCTTATGCAAATACAAGCCCAAACGGGGTTTTAGGGAATTCCACCCGTTCGAGTGGAAAAATCGTGGAAAACGTTTGCATGAAATTTGTTTTGTTTGCCATTCAATCGGAATCCTAAAACTCAATTTCGCAACTTTCCGTGAGAACAACTCATCTGAATGGTTTTTCACAATTTTCGCAAAATCCACTCATTTTGGGTGAAACTCCATTCCAAACTCATCTTTTTCATACCACGTCGAAATTGTTGATTCCAACTTTTTGTGATTCATTCTATCGTCTACAAACTCGACTAATTAAGAACAATTTGAGACGTGGGTTTTCACGATAATATGGCTAAACTTGAATTTCCCACGGTCTGTAATTGGGGGGGGAAAAGAAATATCTTGAGTGTGAAGCGATAAGCTTGGCCCGCGCAACGACGGGGAATGCAAGATTGTATAATACAGTTCATAATTGACAAGTTTTTCGTTAAGATATCTTCGAAAACCAACAAGTTTTTCCATATAAAAAATACAAGTTTGTGAGGTATCATTCCCAAGGCATCTATCTATATGATATAATGGTATATATATTGGTTTCATATAGCTGATATTTTGCTCAGCTGAGGCTTACAATTGCTGAGTTTTGCTAGGATTACTTGAAAAATAAAACTATTTAGTCAGGGTAACCCATCTTTGAACGAATTGTCCCTATCTACATGCTATATAGTATGACATTAATATCGTTTATAGTATGCCGATCTTTAGATCATTAAGAACATGTCAGAACAACCGATCGCACTTATAAGTAATATGATATAGTAGGCCGATCTTTGATATATCTTTTATCCGAAGCAAGTTTCGTCAATTTACAATTTACGTACAAAACTGAACGAAACATGAGCATGGAACGTGAACAGAGAGACGGGCGGATCTCGCTTTAACGAAACGCCAATTGTTAAAGCTGATCGGGAGTATATATAGACTGATATAAAAACTGATACAAAACTGAACGAAACATGGACCGACAAACTTATGTCATATGATACAGATATAGTAGGACGATTTTGATATAACTTCTATATGCAGCAAAACGAAGCAAGTTTCGTCAAGTTAGCTACAAAACTGAACGAAACATGAACAGGCCAATTGTTAAGTTAAAGCTGATCGGGAGTATATACATATATATAATCGTCTGCTATGCCTTGCACAGCCCGTAACTGAAGGGTATCGATTGGGATCGGTGTGGGATGTGATCATACCTGCGCCGAGACTCTCCTCGTCGACATCGACGGCGACGCCATCGTTGGTGTCCTCCTCGCCATCGAGGTCCTTGCTGCTGCTGCTGTTGTTCGTCTTGCTGAGGCTGCCATTTGTGTTGGCAGCGGCGGCGGCGGCGGCGCCTGGCGGGGGCATATCTTCGAGCAGCTCGGGACTAAGGTCGTTGGCCACGTAGTGCGCCCAGAGGGCGAGCTCGACGCGATGCGGTGACCAGTGCGGCGTCTCGCCGCCGACCTCCGCATTGAGGCGCTCGACTGTTGCCTGAATGTGCTGCACGAAATTGAGGTATTCCTTGGTCGTATAGTCGATGCCCTCGATCTCTGGTATGGCCATCAGGCACTCGTCGGCCATGAATGGCGCGGAATCGGGAGCGGCGGCTGTTAGGAGGGCGGATGCCATCGTTGTGCCGACGCCCTTGAGGTTCGATAAAGCTGTGATCGCCTGCTCCAGATTGGGTAGCTTGCGGAAGGCCTTCTTTGTCTCCTGGATGACGGCGCGCGGTGTATTCACCTTGACCAGATACGACAATTGCGGATAGAATTTGCCGCGCGACTGTTTCCATTTCATGGCCTGGACAAGCTCATCGTATACCAAATGCTTATCCTTCCCTCGCGCCTTGATCAGGCCGGGCAGCTCGTTCTGAAACCATTGATCCAAACGGATCAGCTCCTGTGGCTTCTTGCTGCGCTTCTCCGCCTTCATCTTCAGCACCTCCGGATACATCTGATAGCAGTATTCGAACTGTGAGGTGCTGCCGTTCTCAAAGAACGAAGCCGTCGCCTTGCCGTTCGACATATTTCTGCCTCGATTCTGCCTTGTGTGGATGCGGATGCGAATGTGGATGCAGTTGTGGTATGGAGATTGGATGAGTGAGTGGCGCAGCGCTGTTGCTGCTACTGACCGCTGGGACGCTGTCTTTGCCTCTCTGCTGTATGTCTATCGCTTAGCCCACGGCTGTTATCGTTATCGTTATCGATGCGGTTTTCATTTGATTTGATTTGATTGGATTGTTGTTGTTGTCGTCGTCGTTGTTGTTGTTGTTGTTGCCGGCGAAACGTTGGCATGAAAATAGAGTGGAAGAACAAGAGTGGATGCGACACAAATTAGCATTACAGTTAAAAGGTTTACAGAAAGAAAGGAAGACAAAAAAAAATAGAGAAAAAAAAGAAGCTGATATATGTATATGACAGCGTTGCCGTATGCTGTTTGCATGCACCGTTAAATAATTACATTCACTGTCTGCCTTTTTTTTTTTTTGCTTTTTATTTATAATTTTTTGGTCAATTTGTCAGCATTTTTTCAATACCCGATAATCACATTTCGTTTGCAATTTGCAATTTTTCAGGGCACAGCAAATCGAATTTTACTCTCCGCAGTAGTCGCAGTCCACACCAACAGTCAGTCGGGTTCTTTTTACTGGTCGTCGTCGACGTCGTCGGTCTTTCGCACGCACACAGTCACACACAGGCATGCACACACGCACGCACACACATGCAAGCAACTCGCTTATACACACATATACACAACAAACCGACTCACACACACACACACTCACACACACACACACGCACACACAGAAACATACTCACACGCACGCACACACTACCACCATTAAGGCGAAACGGGGCAACGAAATTTCTTTTCATATATATTGTGTATTTTGGAAAAGAAAAAAAAGATGAGAAATAATAATACGAAGGCACGATACGAATTGAAATATGTATATTTGCGCACACAACTAACAACTAAACAACATAACATCATTCAGCTGCAGTTTCTGTTTGAGAGCTGCTTCTCCAAGTCGCAGACACGGTTGCCCAGAGGGAGGCCAGAGCCAAATGCGATTTGCGATTTGCGAATTTCGAACGCGAACGCGAATATTCGTAATTCGTAATTCGTAATTCGTAATTCATATGCGAATGCAGCTGCTGCTTACCTTTTGGCGTTTTTCAAAAACTTTTCGTATAGCCTGTGCGCTGCTCCGCTTCGTCTCCCGTTTTCGTCACCGTTGCCTTTTCTTTTTTTTTTTTTAATGATGTATGTTATTCTTATTATTATAGTTGTAGCGTCGTTGCCTGCTGCTGTATTTGTATTTGTATTTGTATTTAATATTAAACAAATTTCGCTTGCGACCGCCGCTTTAGTTGCCGCCTGTCTTTCGTTCTGTCCACAGCGAGGCAGTCAGCAAAACAGCCAGTGCCAGAGCCAGCCAGCTATAAAGCTAGCAGTAGTCGCTGCCTCTGCCTTGAATGCCAGTGGCGTCGCCGAGCAGGGGCCGCACGAAAAAAATGAAATGAACGGAACAAAAATAAGGATGCAGCTGTATGCTTGCGCGCTAGAAAAACTCCGAACTGCAGGAGCGCCTTATCTCTGACTGCTCGCCCCGAATGACTATGAGTGGAACTGAAGTTGTATCTTTCAATTGCCAGTTGCCAGTGGCCAGTGGCAGCAGCAGCAGCAGCAGCAGCAGTAGCAGCGGCAGCAGCGGCAGCTCACCCCTCGTTGCCGCACGACTGTGTGCGCACCGCTTTATCATCGTTTCCACTTTCGAACGTTCATTCGTATTCAATGCTTGTCCGCTGTTCGCTACAAGCGGCTGCGGCAGCGGCGCTGCCAGTAGCAGTGACAGCGGCGTCTCAGCCAGCATTTATAGGGGTTGTTGCATGTGCTTGTTGCGAGTTTAGCGACTGTCAACAAGAAACAACAACAACAACAACAACGGCAAATAAAAATAATTACTTTCCGACATGTATGCGCAATTCATGTACATACACACATTCGTACATCCATCCAACCGTCATCTATCAATGTACACATGTTGCTGTACCCCGTTCGTAACGCCCCTGACAGTTTATCGCTTCGTATGCTTGCATTCATACATACACTGAATGTATGTATGTACGCTCGTTGTTGTTTCTGTAACGTTCGTGTTCGCGTTCGTTCGTTCGTTCGTCGCTTTGCCATCTGCGTCATTGTCTCGGCTTTAGCGTCATTTGCGCTTTGCCGGATGATTCGTTGTTGTCGTTGTTGTTGTTGGCCGTTTTTTACTTACCCTATTCGTCGTTGCCGTCGTCGGCGACGCGTATAGCAGCTGCAATTTAGCTCTGTAGCCGTTGACTGTTTGTGGTTCGCTTATTTTTACCCTATGTTCGGTTTCTCGCACACACACATACACACACACACAACACAACACACGACGCACACAGAGGCACATCTGTATCCGTCATGTTCAGCGTTGTTGCTGCTGCTGCTGCTGTTGCTGGGGCGCAGCGTTGCCACATCGTGCACAAAATTCAACTTGAAACGAGTTTTACATGCATGAAATGTGAAAATGAAACCAAAACTGAGTCTCAATCTCAAACTGAATCTGAATGTGGCTCTGTCATGCCCACAATTGCTACTGCAAAATTATTAATGATAATTAGATGAGAAGACAAATGGTCGGCCGCTTTGTTGCGCCAAAGATACCCTACAATAGCAAAAGCAAAGCTGAACATTGCTTTGTACGCGTTTACAAAGCGCCAGATACAGAACACACTCTCACACACACACACACACACACAGATACGCACACATGCACACGCAGAGCGTGACACACGCGAAAGGGAGAAGGCAATCCACACGTTGCTGTGCGCGGCTCTTCGTACTGCCGAAGCGGCGAATATTGGGTTTGGAAATTTGTTTAGATCCATTTACAGAGCCCTGTACAAATGTTATATGTACATATGTATGTATGTGTGTACCTCCAAGATATAGTAGGTATGTATGCACATACATGTACATGTATGTGCATAGATGTTTTAACATTATCTTTCTTAATGGTAACAGCACCTTTTTCTTCTGGTATTTGTACTTGATTCGTACAATGCCTATGCAAAAATATTCTTTGGTCACCATTCTTAGTACCGTTATTATAATTTATTCATAGGAAATGAATAAGTATATGTATGTGATCAGATCATTTTCGTAAATCCTAAATACATATCCAGTTTTAGCCCGGACTTGAACCCAATTGAGAACCTCTCGTAAATACTATCTGTCAAAGTTTATAGGAATGGTCGACAGTTTGAGACAATAAAGTCGTTTTGATGGGTGAGTGGAAAAAAATAAACTAATTCTCTCTGGAAAACTTGGCAGATTCCATGCCAAAGCGCCTTAAGATATGGAACAAATATAAACTGTTATGAAAACCAAAAATCATAGAAACTTAAAATGAAAATTAAAGGAAAATTTAAAAAAAAAGCTAAAGAAAAATTGAACCTTTTTTCTAAGAATTTAATTAATTTCATTTAATATTTCAATTTGAAAGGAAAATGCATTCAAGTATTTCTCTGCACTTTAACCTTAAGAACAAGTCCAGTTATCACTTAATAGGTCAGGTCGGGAATAAATTATAAATTAGTTCGGCCTTGGAGGACAAAAATGCTTTGCTGATTTCAGCAATGTTTTTGCTTGAATCTAATATTTATATTAAGTGCTGTAATTATACTTTGCCTGGGAATGGAGGCCTGCGACAGCAATTTCCTAGAACATTTAGATGATTCCAAGTAAAACAGTTTAGCTACAGCGCGACGCTGAAAGCAATTGACCCAAATACAGAGTTCTTTTCTACAAGGAATACAGATGAAACCTAAATTTCTAGCATTTTTTCCCCAAACCCAATTATCTAGCATTTTTCCCACCAAAATTCAAGATATGCCCCTCAAGACTATATAAAATAATTTTTGATGGTTCCGTTAACAAAAAACCAATCGGTGCAACCCGATTCGAACAAAATCTTCCATATCCTTGGTTTCGGGTTGAACATTATTGTTCCTGTATATAATCAGCCCGTTCTACTGAGAATATCGCAGATATCCGTAGATATTTTCATATAGAAGCTGCGGGCTACATTTAACCTTTACCCCTAAATTGGATATAGTACGGAAGTTCGACTGTTATTGGGAAACTTGGTTTAGTGATTTATATTAAAGGCTATGTATAAGGAAATTGAAATTCCGGGCTCGAATCGGTTCGGTCTTAAGCCGCTTTTGCTCAACCATTAATCTAGATCAAAATTAACCGGTATTTTTAGGCCATAACCGGTTCGGATGAAATGAAGAAGAAATCGCCAACGAAAGCCATTTAAAGAAAATATATTTTCAATATGTATCTAAAACGTATATTTTTGTTACAAATTTGCCGGTTGCTCAAAAACCGCTCAAATATAATTGTAATAAAATATTAGTTATTTATAATTTGCAATTAAAATGCAAGTTACTTTTATTTTTGAAAAACTTTTGTAATCAAAACTACACACACACATACATACATATATATATATATATATATATATATATAAAGAATTAAATATATATGCCTTCAATTTGACTGACTGAAGAATTGACAAATTGATTGATCTCTGTTAGATCAATCAAAAATAAATAAATATATCGGTTTGTTGTTGATTCCAGTCCTAAAAACATATAGTTCCAATCATAACACACTATGGCCGAGCAACGCCTGGTAATATTTGCTAGCACATTAAGATATTTATACATATATAGATTAAATATATATATGTATCTATTTAAATATACATGTGTGTATTTGCTTGCAAAACTACAAAATTTCGATTTAATTTTGTTGCTAATAAAATCAAAATACAGAACTTAGGAATATTAAGCGATGGCAGCCTGATGATATGATATCCAGATGAGCTAGTGGGTATATAGAAGATATATCTTCGATTCGGACTAAGCCTCGTGCCGCATTTGGTGGCGCAATTCGCGCATTGTTATCTGCAAAATATGGGAAGAGTTAATTAGGGAGTTCAGATAAATAGATAGATAGATAAAGATATGTATAGTTATAGATAGGGTTAGATACATTTTGTAATTCGACATTGATAATGCAAAACTATATTATTTACCTTTCAAGTTTTCAGTAGTTACAATCGGCTTGTCATTTTTAAAACTGATAACAAAGTCATGTAGAAATATATATAATATATAAGTATTATTAACATAACAACGGATTACATGAACGCAATATCGATTGTAATCCAACTTGGAATTTTTTGTTTGGGTATATTTTTTTTTCGGTTCGTACGGATCGGGTTCGAGAGGTTAGCAATAGATTGGGGATTTAGAACTGTGTGTGTGTTTAACGGCAAACTTAAGAACTCCGGATTAGATACAATTTTTTTGCTATTGTTTGATAATTGATTAACTAAAATTTTGAAGGACGGCAGCACCGCGCCGAACTGAATGCAATTTTGTGCCAATCGTATATGGTAATTATCATGATGTTCAGTTAAACATAAATGCGAATGCGGGCAGTATTGGGTGGATATCAATTCATATCTATATCTTCCAATCGTACAGGCTGTGTGTACGGTATAACCGATTTCTTGTTCACGTCTCGGGACAGCGCCTTACGCATATCTGTAAAAGAGCCGCAAATGCCAAATTAATATCAACAAGTTGTATTTAGTCGGGCGTGCCCGACTAGCAGTTATCCTGCACCCAGCGTCATACAATATATATTTATGAGTCTACCTTTAAACCGAGATCTTCTCTTTCCACTTCAGAGATTTATGTTTCTATCTATTTTGTTCTTCATATATTTCATATTTCAAAACTCTAGCTTTTGGTAGTTGCCAAGATCGGCGGGTTTTTCCGCAGACGAACACACGGACGGACATGTCTAGATCAACCCAGCTCCTCGTCTCGGCCAACAATTTACATAGTTTATGAGGTCGGAAATTGTTTTCGTCCGCCAGATTTATACATTTGCCTATTCTTAAGCTATTTCCATTGGGTTCAGGGTATGAAAATAGAACTTGCCATACGCATCCTCGTCCTGGTCACCCGAGTAGTACTCGAGTATGGTGCGATATATAATATAGCCCAGATTTGTATACATATTGATGGCCACTTTATTGCTTTTGCGCACAAACAGATCCACAAAGTAGGCACGTTTCCTGCAAGACAGAGACGGTTTAAACATTTATATCACTTTATATATCGCCCAATTACTTTTCCGATATGTCTTCCAGGAAGCTCATCAGCAGCGCCGCCAGACCCAAACGCCTGTAGTCGGGCGAGACAGTCAGCGCGGTCACATGTCCGTGCCAGTTGTCCATATGTCCCTCTACCTTGCCCATGACTGTGAAGGAAAGTTAGCTTGTAGCGAGTCTGCGTTGTCTACATTAGCCAATACTTACTGTAGCCCATGATGTGCTCGCTGGGCGATTCGGCCAGCTGAAAGTATTCGGGCCATTTGGCCAGATATTGTGTGTAAAACGAGAGACCGTATGTTTCTGTAAGCGGATCAAAGTTCCTGAAATAGACACACACTGTTATTGGACGCATGCCAATTGACTTGTGTAGACACTCGTCACTTACACGTTATTAAATTTAAAAAGGTCATCACAGGTAAATGGTCGCAGCGTAGTCATTTTTGGTAATTTAATATTTGTTTTTGATTAACCCGGTGCCCGTCAACGTCGCGGTCTATATATATTAGGGATAATTAATCATTGTCTATCGATTGCACAATGTGCCCACACTGACCGCTATCGATAACGCACTGCCAGTGTTACCAATATTTGTCTGTCTTTAAATCAAAGCTGGCCTGTTGGACATTTAAAAAGCGGAGACTTGCATTTATGCATCAGTAATTCTGATTATTAGTCATTTTAGGCTATTTCTTGGAAGCTTTTTTAAGTTGTCATAGAAAACGTCGTCTATTCGTAGCTCTCTTATTTAAATCCCTTATCAATCGTTACAACGAATTTATTTGCTCTTGTCTGCAAAGGTGTAAAGGGTATGCATCCAGTATAATATATTTTAAATGTTGAAGAGTAACATAACTATTCTGTTTATATCGGGCAACATATTGCCTAACTGATCCATAAATTGCAAAAATAACAAGATTGAGCTATTTATACGTTAGTATTATTTTCAACTCTTGTCGTAACCGATATGGGGCAACACTGGTTGCAAACCAGATGGCACTGTGCTACGCACAGTCCTTTCTTTGACTGTTGGTGGCATGACGTCACAAATGTGATATTCCATAACAAACCAGTAATGTTTGCGCCAAATATAAGCATTTCAAAAAACAATATACCAAGTTAATATTTTTTAATATTAAATTAATTTTGATTTTATGTTTTTTGTTTCACTTGTAGCCACTGTTCGAAATGTGCGGCTGTGACGTCATGCGCAATGCCAGCAAACAGAGCTGCGCACAAATTGCCACCATCTTGTGGTGGTGGCCCTCGCAACGGGATCAGGGCAGCAAGAAATTGTGCGACAAGCAACAGCAATGCCATTTCAATTCCTGCGGGCGCGGCGTGAGAGTTGCTGCTAAGGCGAGCGAGCAGCAAGTACATCGAATCACTGCAACAGTTGCCATGCAGCAAATCACAATACGAATTCACACACTGCGCAATTAGTGAGAACCGCGTTTGCAGCCCCTTTGAGCGCAACAGTTGTTGTTGTTGTGTTGCTGTGTTGTTGTTGTTGTTATTGTTGCCCTTGAACGTGCAGCATGGAGCCCGTTGGCGCAGTTACGCGGGGCAAGCCGCAGGACTCTGGCACATTGTCGCGCCTAGATTTTGATGGTGGTCCCGTTAGCATTGATGAAGTCGAAACTGGCCTATTTCTGGGTAAGCATTTCCAGTTGGATTTCCAGCTTCTGGTTAATACAAATTTTGTGTACCTCGTTGCAGGCAACGTGGCGGCAGCTACCCATATGGAAACGCTCAGATTCTTCAAGATAACGCACATACTCACGCTGGACTCGGTGCCGTTGCCGCAGCATATTGTGGAGTCGAGCCTTCTGACCACCAAATACGTGCAGAGTAAGTGCAAGCCAAAGATTCTATTGACGAAGCTCTGGCTGCTTCTCTAAAGCTCTTCTATCATAAGCGGAGCGAATCTATAATTTGTTGTCGATATCTTCTATCGATTTCCATAATATCGATAAATTTCGATATCTTTTACGATTTCCCCAATATCGATAAATATCGATCTTGAGGTAGGGTTTTCGAAGCACAGCTCGAATATTACAGAAGCTAGATACCAGAAACTTGATTCTCCGATAGCATATAATATATATTTTAATGCCTTAACCAATTCCGACCAAAATTGAAAACAATCCATTTATAAAGAAAGAGCTTTCGTATGCCAACAACAAATTAAGGGAAAGGGTTACTGAAGGTAATAGAAAAAGAAGAACGGACCGTTGCCTTCAGCAGGAAGAAGAGATATTCCTTGCAGACATAGAGTTCTAGTAGGACGACTTCTAGAGAATCCGCTCCTCGTGACTTTTCCATATAAAGTCCTGATTCTTCATATAGAGCTTTATGATATGGTAGTCCGATACCGATAAGATATGGCTCGTATGGGAGGAGAACTTAGTAGAACTTCTGTAATTCACAAGGTTGTTCATCCTACATGATAAAGAACAACAAAGTGCTGGAGGAATGGGGAATTAGACATTCTAGATAAACAGGCAGACGAGTATATGGATTATATCGATTCGTCTGTTGAAGCTCGAAGGAGGCTAAACATTTCGTGACAAATCCTCCTCCAGGATATGTCCCATTTCTTCTGCCCTGGGCGAGGATTGACTTTCCTTTAGTAGGAAAGCATTCACTGTACAGATTTGTTTTGTTGCAGTTTCCGACATGCCGCGCGAGGATATACTGCAGCATCTGGAGTCTTGCGTGGAGTTCATAACCAAGGCGCTCGAGGAACAGTGCAATGTGCTCGTGCACTGGTGAGTCCGAGGATTGCTGCGTCTGATCTCTCGCCTGTCTAATCTAATCGCGCAAGCAATTCTTCTCCTCCTTTAGCTACTTTGGCGTCAGTCGCAGCTCGTCGGCGGTGATCGCGTACTTGATGAAGCGCCACGGACTGGACTATCAGCCGGCGTACGATCTGGTGCTGGCCAAGCGTCGCTTTGTCCAGCCGAATGTGGGCTTTGTGTCGCAGCTGAAGCTCTACCGTCGCATGGGCTACAAAATTGATCCCAACTATCAGCGCTACAAGATGCATCGGCTGCGTCTTGCCGGCGAACAGGTGCGCAAGGCCAAGATATTGCCGCAGAGCTTCCACGGCGTTGTGCGTCCCGATCCGGATATCACACGGGAGAATCCCGAGCCGATTGTCTTTCGCTGTCGTCGCTGTCGACGCGTGCTCGCCTCCAAGTCGCACGTGCTGGAGCATCGACCGCGCAACATGCCGCGCAACATGCCGCGCTTCCAGCCCGTCGAACCGAGGCAGCTGGCGAGTGCTCCGACTAGCTCCGGCTCGGAGCCACGTCTGCTCGATCAGCTGGCCGAGCGCATACGCAAGGCCTCGCTGGGCTCGACCAGCCAAGAGCATCCAGGACCCGTCGCCGGCTCGAGCAATTACTGTCGCAGCCTCTTGTTTGTGGAGCCCATCGCCTGGATGCACCGCGTCATGCTCAATACCCAGGGTCGACTCTACTGTCCTAGGTGCGAGCAGAAGATTGGCAACTTTAGCTGGGTGAATGGTATGACAAAATTGTATTCAACTAAACTGATTCTCTGGCCAAGACTGACTGATTACTGATTGACGGACTCACTGATTGATTGACTGACTTAATTGATTGATTGGCCGACTGACTAACTGATTGATTACAGAGTGTCTGATTGACTGACTTTCTGGTTGATTGACTTGCTTACTGATTGACTGATCAACGCACAGCAAAAGTCTTTAAGGGTAAATAGCTGCATTTTTCAGAATAGCTTACCTTTTGTTATGTAAGTGTTAACGTGCAGTTGAAAAATGACCAAAAATATGAACTGATTGATTGCCTGATTGATAATCAACACATACGGGAATTCTTTAAAGCTTCAAAGCTGCACTTTGCACAACAGCTTAACTTTTATTATGTAAACGGATAACAAGAATGGATTTGAGAAATTCCATGACTGATTGACTGATTGATGATCAACTGACAGCAAAAACTATTGGATTTAGGCAGCTGCCTTTGTTACAATATTCAACTTTTGTTATGTAAGCGGACACCAGGAAGGGGTTTTGGAAAAGTCTACCGCAAGGTTAAAATTTTAGAAATGACTGACTGATTGAGCGATTGAGGATGACCGCAGAGCAGAAACCGTCCAAGCTAGGCAGAGGTATTTTGTACACTGGCTTTTGTTATGTAACTGGACAGAAGAAGAGCGAATTCTGATCGGATCGCTGTATTATAAAGCTCTCTAGAGAGACTCTGTCGAAAAATGGGTTTTCGTATGGACAATTTATCTGTTTTTCAAGATATCTTGAATATAGTTATGGATCTCACCATTCTCCTAACCCAACTACAAAATCATAACAAATCGGTCGACTTGTATCATTACGGCTGCTATCGACCTAATCGACCTAATCGTTGCGGAATACATTTCCTTTCTTTTCTTTTTGAATTTAATGAACAATAATGACAATGCTTATTAATATATATTTGCGTCCCTTTCTTGCAGCTTGCCAGTGTCCGTGCGGCGAGACGACGACGCCCGCATTTTATTTGATACCTTCCAGAGTGGAGCTCTCCAAGGCCGTGCAGAATGTGCAGACCACGGTCTAAAAGTCGCGCAGATTACACTCCATACAGATATATATATATATATATATATATATATCCGTATATACCTATCTAAATATAAATGTATACAGGCAACAGATCCAATGTAATAGTTAGCCAATGAAATTCGCCGATGCTGATTTAATTATAGTTTCATTTAAGTTGGGTTAGTCGGTTAACCTGGCCAGACCTAGCATGCATATACATATACATATATACATATATACATATATATACATAGATGTATATATGTATGTATATGGACAAAGGGATGAAATCGGTTTTTGTGCTGTTCCATAAATATGCATTTCGCATTTGGTATTTGCATCGCTTTTTGCATATTCCAAAAATATGAATATATATATAAATGTTATTGTTAATTATTATAAATGTATTTACATAATTTTGAAATAACCTTTTGGAAAAGTATTTTGCGCAAAGCCACAAACAAAAAGAAACAAAACGTGTCAAAAAAAAAAAAAAAAACAAAAGAGAAATTTATAAAACAAAATGTGAACATTTTCGGTGACAATATTTGAAAATTTAAACTTTAATTATGCTATTAATGTTGTACTACAATATGATATAGTAATCCGATGTTATAAATGTTGTGCTATATGATATAGTTATCCGATCTGCAGCAAGCTCCATCGGATCGGAAATGTTTGTTCTTATTCCAAAAAAAATGTGTTACAAATAATAAAACTCTACCACGAGCATCAAAGAGAAAATGATAGCCAAATACAATTGATTGTATAGATCTGGATAGGACCGATATCCCTAGAATGAGATTGTATATATTATATATTATTTATTCTGGCATAGAGCCAAGAGCTAAGGCAGATAGTGCCGGGAATGCCCGGTTAGTAGGATCAGCTAATCCCATCCCATTTTGGGATAAGCTATCAAGAAATTATATATTCTCGATCTGTGTGTACTATATAAGAACCTAGCTAACAAGTTAAGTTTATCTAGCTGTTAAAATCTTCGTTTTATGCTTTAGAAACGACATGGAAATGAAAGGAGATATACTTTTTAGACTTCAAACAGACAGAGATGGCAACATTCACTCAACTCGTCCTGCTCGTGAGTTCTTATATTCCTTATATATATGCTTTTTTCTGCCTGTTGCATTAAGTATACCCCATTTATACCCATTGTCCAGAGGGTTTAGGCTGTAGCAAGACATATTTTAGTACTCTCAAGAGTTTCAGGCGTAGCTTTGGCTTTTATTTTTGCCAAATAAAAACCGGGTTTTCAGTTAGTAAAAGCTTCGCTTCCTGATTTTAGCTCATCTCATGGGCATCCGTTGCGCTTTGTAGAGCACATTCGTTTAAAAAATTAGGAAAGGAGTTGTATCTTGGTAAAAATGCGTGCTTCGGTTTTATTGGATCGTCTAAAATTGTATAACTAACTGGCTAGCGCCAGAGCCCGACTTAGTACTGGTAGCCATCCGGTTGATAGGGACGTGAGAATGGTGCCGGCGCGAACGGCACGGGCGGCGGACGCCAATTCGTTGGCGGCGGACGCGGCGGCGGCGCTGGCATGCCGGGCGGTGCCCATGCATTTGGCGGCTGGAGCATGCGTGGCGGCGGCGGTATGCCCATCGTGGGAGGCAACGGCGGCTGCCCGCCGGCCATGGGCGGCAGCGGTGGCGGTGGTATCGTTGCTGGGAATGGTGTCGGCTGTGGCACCGGCGGCGGCGGCGCTATCATGCCCATGTTGTTCGAGGAGACGGGCACCACGGGCGGCGGTGGTGCCATCATCGGTGGCGGCATCATTTGGCCGGGCATGACGGGCATCATGTTCTGTACGGGCGCATCGGCGAACAGTTGATGCGGTCGATCCGCGTGCGCGGATGGATTTTGTGCTGCCAGCAAGCGTTCGGCCGCCGAGCCATGCCGTTCGCCCTTGTGATCCTTCTTGAAGGCATACGAAACGGATATCGGTCGATTGCACAGATATTGGCCATTCATGGCATCCATGGCGGCATCGCTCGCCTCAAAGCTGGCGAAATTGATGAAGGCGAAACCCTTCGATTTGCCCGTCTCCGGATCGCGCATAATCTTTGGCGTCTGCAGGATGACGCCAAAGGCAGAGAACGTATCGTAGAGCAGCTTCTCGTCCACCTCGACGTCCAGATTGCCAATGAATATATTGGCGCCCACATCCAGATTCTTTTGATGCGCCGATGCCTTGTTGACGCGTATCGGCTTGCCATATAGCTTGATCATGTTCATTATTTTGATCGCATAGTCGGCGTCCTCCTCGCTGAGGAACTCCACAAAGCCGTAGCCCTGATGCATTTGTGTGACCCGATCCTTGGGCATGTGCACATTGACTGCACGACACGGATAAACAGATGAATCAAGGGGAAATATGTTTAAAGGCTGCAGAACTTACCAACTGGACCGGCTTGGACGAACAACTCCCAAAGCAGCGTCTCGGATACCTTGTCGTCCAGGCCGCCGGCATAAATGGTGGCATCTATTTGGATGGTTGCGAAAACAGTTAAGTACGACTGGTAACTATGTATGAAAAGCCACTGCTTACCTTGGTTACGTTCAGCAATTGGACCTGCGGCCATTTTGCTATTATAATATGCGCCAAACAAACACAAAACCTACAATTATAATTTGGCAATTATAAACCCCATGCAAGCAGTCAAACCATACACGGCATTTGGGTAGACGCAGCGTTGTAGTTCGATAATAATTATACGATACATCGATATATGTATTTAATTAGTAGGATTGATATTGCACGCACAGCGATTCGATATTTTGCTTAGAACCTCATCTCTTTGATGTACGTATCGATAACGACATTGTCACACACTAAACACTGTTCGATAGCACTAGTCGATAGCGTCCATCACTATTTGGCCTACATTTTTATGTAATGTCACTCATCACTTTGTTGTCGTTTTACAAAGAAAAAATCGTGCTAGTAACCAAACCAAAGAACCAAGAATATTAGTTTGTGCGCTGTGATGTGATATCCAATTGTAACAAATAATGAATTGTCATCAAATATTGAGCGGTGCCTGCAATGCGGGTGACCGGTGCTTCGCAATTGGCTCCGTGGAAGGCATACCATTTACAGTAAGAATACGAGCGATTACGATTGCCCTATAGCCAAGTTTTTTCTTTATTTTTTTTTTTTTTTTGCTGTTCGTTTTCGTTTTTATCACGCATCCATCATATTGTACAACCTGCAAACACACACAGACGCACGCAAACACCTACGTGCGCGACAGTCATATGTAGTATATATATGTATATGAATGTGTACATGTATTTATATAGGTACGCTAGGTACTTAAGGGTACGACTAGTGTATGTACCACATTTTCCAACACGGCTGGCATTTCGCGAATTGCAATTGGAATATCCGATTCCGATCAGACCAAAGGGGATTTTCATGTTTTCATTTACATTGCGTACTTGTACGTATCTATGTACATAAATAAATGTGATGCTTGGCTGTCACACTAGCTGTCACCGTCTTTCCGTCTGTCTGTCTGTCTGTCTGTGGTCAATTAAATCCAAATTCGATGACAACAACAACTCTTAACTAATTCAGCTGTTGTTTTTGTTGTTGTAGCTGCTGTCTGCGTGCGTGTTTTTTTTTGTTTGTTTTCTGTTGCGGTGAATGCTGCAAACAAACCATTTTTCATGGTGTTTCAATTTGAAATCAATGTATTAACATGTTTTCTGGCTTTTAATTACATTTAAAGGTCAAGTGCTGCGGCTGTAAACAAGCCTCTCACGTTGCCTTACGCACTCACACACACGCATGCGACGCACACACACACACATAGCTTGCAAAACATATAACATTCGATTGGTCAAATGGCCTTTGATGCCCTAAATTCGATAAACATACATACATGTATGCCCATCTCTATAGATGTGTGTGTGTGTGTGTGTTTGTGTGCAGCTGCCCTGCAGCCTGCAAATGGGAATCCTCGCAAAAATGTTGCGAGGCGAAACGAAACGCCAATAACAAATAAATTATACACGGCCCATAAAATGCTGCAAAATTCGTTATTTTTTTTTGTCGTGAGCACGCATTTATAATGTGGCGACTGTAGCTGGAATCGTTTATTTTTATGATCATGTGTATGTCTGTTTGTATGTATGTGCTATGTACATACACATACATATCAAATATTAATTACTAACGGTAACCCCTTACCCCCCAGCCACCCACACACGCTGTTTGCGCTTATTTGTTTACCGCTAGCGCCTGAGGTCTGTTTTTTTTCTTTTCTTTTCTCTTTATTTTTTTTTCTCATCTATGTAATTTAGCAGTCACAAGCATAATTAACTGTGCACATTCAATGGCTAAAGAATAAATATGTAGAATGTTAAGTGTGGCAGCACTTCCCCTCGACGCCCCCATACCGTTTTTTTTTTAAGCAAAAATTTCAATTCAAAATGCCAACAGCTGCAATTGCCTGTGTGTGTATGTGTGTGTGTGTGTGTGTACGTACAGTGTGTACACATCTGCATTATATTCTGTAATGAGCTGCGAGCCGCCGCCGCTGTTGACATTGCCACCCATTCATTTAACTATGTAAATGCCATCATTTCAATTGTATTTTTATAATTATTACGTGTGTGAGTGAGTGTTTGTGTGTGTGTGTGTGTGTGTGTCACAGCAGCAACAACTATAAATATAAAAAAAAAAATATGCACAGTCGCAGCTGAACTTGAAAATGGGCAGACGACACACATACACACACACACATGCGCTTACACATACACACAAAGTGGCGCCATCTGGCCCTGGGCAGCGAGTGCCATAGCAGTCAGCCTTGCGGCCTTGGCAAGAAATATCCGCAGCCATATCTCGCCTCGCCTCGGCTCCTACTTAAGATAATGAACACATATCAGAGACGGGCCAGAGGAACCAGCTAAAACTAACCAAACTAGAAAGCGACAACAACAACAACAACAACAACAACAAAAACAAATCACAATTAGCCGAGATAAGGCAATGGCTACGGGAATGGGTTTACCAGCTGCTCCGAGAAAGACTCTATTCAAGGGCAGGCCGAATCCGAATCCGAAGCCGCAGCCGCAGCCAAAAGATTTCCTGTGCAATCCGGAATCAAACCAAATTGGTCTAAATTAGCTTTAGGCACGCGTTCAAACTTGAAATTGTTCGGGAATTAATTTTGTTTTTTTTATTTTATTTTTGTTTAATTTGCATGCATACGACTTCAGTTCTGAACATTTATTTATCTCTGCTCAAATTTGGTCAAAGCGTCGTTTATCCATTTATCCGCTGTCCGACCAAATTATTTGTCTTCGATATTTAGTTACCAGTTAACTGTGTTACATCATTTTTGTATAACCCTTTCTCACCCTCCTCCCCCCATCCCCCCATCCCCGCCATCGTCCAGCCATGACAGCCTTGTCCTAGTTCGGGCAAATGTCGTTAGTCACACAGCTTAGCTGTGGTCCTCCTCCATGGTCGCTTGGTTGCCGCCCCGCCCCCCCCTTTCACCCCGTCCCCACTTGAATACACATCTAATCGTTTCTTATCTTTATAATCAATTTATTTCATAGTTATAGATATGATATGCTATGATGCATATGTGTGTACATATATTTCATATTTAGCGTGTCACGAGTTTTTCTCTTTACGAATTCCTACTCAAATTTCTCATTTTAATTAATTTCATTTAATTTGTTTCAGTTAATCACAAATTTAATCCAGA